TTAAAAAAGCTTTGTATTATGCAGGATTTTTCTGTCTTCCTTATCAAATATAAATTGTAAAATATGTTATATTATATTTCATAATGATAGAGGTATGCGAATAAAAAAGCTCAAGTATATATAACTAATATATATAAATGAACTGAAAAAAATCACATACATTTTAATCCAGCAATATATACAGCAGACTGAGTAAATGATATATAGTAAAAATCGTGTATATATACTAAAACAGTCATTGATAATTAACTACATGTACATCAATAAAATCTGTGATTGTATCATAATGACTTTCATCGATATCGTTTTTCCCTCCGTAATAAAATGTTATGTTCTGATTAACAAAAATGATTGCTTTTGGTATTGTTTGAAACCATCCTGAAAATAACTTGATATGTATATGTACATTATTAATTGAGTACAATACAAAGTGTATAACATGCGTGCTTGTCAACAAAGATCTATCGTTTAAACATTACCTTACTGCTTGTATATTATACAGTACAGTAATTATATTTTTTACAGAATTTTTACATGTATCAATTGATCCAATAGCCAAAGTATTAATAGCCAACAATAATAAAAAAGATAACGAACTTCATTGTTTAAAAACACGCTCCAACATAATATGTAATGCAATACTTAAAACCTGATTTATTTAATCATATTACAAAGTTATATTACACGAAATTGAGAGGTGCATGATTATAAAGCTTTATAATAATGCTTTGTAAATATAAAAAAAACAGGGTACAAGTTACTTACAATTTGTTTAATGATAATATTAATGTTGATTATTTTTATTTTACAGATATGTATTTATTAACTTAGGAGGGAACGACATCACGGCAGCTTGTGATATCCAATCTATATATATCAACCTGATCAATATAGCAGAGGAACTTTATAATTCGGGTGTGGAACGCGTGTTCGTGGCAAGCATTATTGAAAGAGGAAACTTTGAACAGCGGACAGGTCTAAACAGCAGGATGTTCAATAAAATCAGAAGGTCACTCAACAATAAATTGAAAAAGTACTTTGGTCACGATTTTGTGCAAGTTGGAAAAAGACTACAATATCCTAGACACTATGATAGAGATTTAGTACATCCAGGGTGCTCCGAAAAAGGCATGACAATATTTAAACATGAGGTGTTAAAGTGCTTTAGGAGAACTATACGCTAGATGGAGAATATGTATTGAACTATGTAGTACATGTTTATTTACTTAATAATCATATTATTATATTAAAAATAAAGAAATAAACAAATGATTCATGTTTCCCGTCTTTTTTATTGTAATTTGAAATACACATCACCACATCTTTAGAAAGCAGACATTTCCTTGGGATAAACCGCTTTTATTTAAAAAGCATGTTTTTAGGACATTATTTGTTCGACAGATATAGAAATGAGAGATGATATAATCATTATATACCTTTTTAGCTAAGATGAATGTTTTATTTTTTGTAAATGATCCAAGATAAAATCTACATAACCAATAACATAAATATTAACAAATTTAAGTTATTTAGCATATCAGTCTTTTTTATTTACAAGGTTTTTAGATCAAAACGAGAAAAATGGCCATTCAATATTATTATAATAGAAGCGACTTATTATACCAAAAGTACGGAAACGTATAGCGACAACCCCTACATTTGTCAGAAAGTAGTGTATCTTGCATTATAGGATAAAAACGTACGATAGATAAAGAAAAAACACATCATACATGATTTACAACACAACTTGATTTAATTGCTTCCATTATTACTGAAGCATATAGCGACTTCCCTGATATGATATATATCAAATGACTTTTTCTTATTGTATGTTTGCTATATGTAAAATAAGATAAAAAAAACGTACGATAGGTAACAAAAAATACGAATATATGAGCCGCGTCACGACAAATCCAACATAATGGGTTTGCGACCAGCATCCGCGCAGTCTGATCAGGATCCATGCTGTTCGCTTAAAAAGCTTAAAAACCCTTTAACAAGTAGAGACACCGATAGCGAAAGGGGAAGGAACTCCAGACTTTCTTTGCGTAGCGAAAGGGGAAGGAACTCCAGACTTTCTTTGCGTAGCGAAAGGGGAAGGAACTCCAGACTAGTCTGACTCGGTCATATCAATTTCTTTCGATCAAAAAGGCGGAAAAAAATCCGGAAGGGTAATAAATATATATATGCTGAAACAGCGTGTATATACGTAACCAGGGTGAATATGCTAAAACAGCATGTACTCGTTTATACTAAAACAGCGTCTATATATGCCAAAACGGCGTGTAAATACTCAAACAACATGTATATAAACAAAGGTCTCTGTTGACGACTGCATAACGAAATGCTTACATAAAAATATAACGTTTTGTCATTAATATTTAACCACATCTAGAATATCTGTGACTGTAATATAATGACTTTTATCAGTATCGGTTTTTTTTTCAATAAAGTCTCTCCAATTACATGTTTTGTTATGATTTACAAAATGACTGCTCTCGTTATTGTTTGAAACCATTCTGAAAATGACTTGATGTACGCACATTACTAATTAAGTACAATACAAACTTCATAACATGCTCTTGACAACAAAGATCTATTGATAACAGACAAATGCTCGAAGAATGTTCAAACATGACACACATTAAAGTTTAGAATTACAGTCCTTGATCTTTTTTCAACAAAAGCCGATTTATTAATAATTATTGCTCCATATTGCTAATATTGTACGAATATTTCTAAAGCGCATTTGAATGTAAACTTTCAAACGCTGCGTCCTAGAAATATCATAGAGCCAAGCTTTAGAAATATCATAGAATAAAAGGTTAATGCACCTTCTTTTGCGTTGACAACAGAAGCTCGAGAATGCAATAAAAGTACGAACTAGCAGGGTATGTGATTCAGTAAAAGTCCGAGGGCTTTTTCTGCAGATGCTATACACGGAAAAGAAGATGCATTAGCGTTATTTTTGTTAAATTGATTAATACCTCTAATCTTTATCTGTATCTTGTATAAAGAAACCAATTTGTCACTTTTCCATTGTGCTTTAGTGCGTTGTCAATTGACGTGCAACAAAGGCACGAGGTAATGTGAATCTTTATCCGTTAATACATGTTTCCTTCTTCGTTAATGTGAAGCTTGCAGAGTTTTTTGTGCAAAAGAGAAGAGTCAAAACTGGACTTGAATCTGTTGCACATTTTACATGCAGAGTCATTTTCAAGAAAATAGTAAAATACATATTCATTGTTTCTCTTTTGTGTTAAAAGGGTACACATCATTTCAAATATATATTCTTCGAAATAAAACATTTTTTTCTGCTGAAATAAATCTTTAGAATAATTATGAAAGTATTGTGCAGATAACAATTCGACCGATCTTTTTGTTCGTGCGCATAAATTTGAATGTCTTTATATGAAAAAAAATATAGCAGAAATTACCATTTATTATTTACTTACAAATGAAATATTGACATATATTGATGAAATAAAATGCTTATTTTCATTTTCCGTATTTTCACTTTAAAATTTTTCACTGCAGTGAAACATATGTTCCGTATTTCCACTGGTGTCTTGCTGGACTACTTTCTTTTAAATTCTGCCAGTATACAAAAATTTAAGAGAAAGTCTGTCAAATTGTAATGTCAAGAAGAGAGAAATGTATATAATAAACAGAAAATTCAAGTTTTTTCTATAAATACATGATTTATTTTCATCTTGTGGCATGAAAATTTTCATATTTCATACAACTCGATGAAAATAAATCATGTATTTAAAGAAAAAAAAACTTGAATATCCTCTATGTATTTCATAGGTGAATAAAACTTCAACAAAATCTAGTTTATGGTTACATGTATCGACGTTAAAATAAAACAACAAAAACATTCACTTTTCTACCTATAATTTCGAATATACATTTTCGATCTTATTCAAAATTAATTCAAGCGCAGTTGTGAACTGTCCAATCTACGTGTTGTTATGTTAGGATAGGAATTATTTACATCGGTTCACTGCTGATGAGACAGGATTGTACTGAGAGATTGGTCTTTGTTTATTAATAACAAATTGATTGATGATGTTGATCATTTAGAATTCAGATCTTATCATGATAAATGACAAGGACGAACTATTAAATAATTGAATAGGGCGATGATGTGTATAGTGTTTGCTGACATGTGTCATATTGCCTCGTATTGACAATGCTTTTACATTCAAATAGTTTCCTTTTGATTTTGCTATCACCTTATTAAGGTCAAATCAGAAGCCATTTCTGTAAAAAGATTATGCTCGCCCATATGGTCTCTTTCCGGTGGCGAGGGTAAACAAACGCAAACACACACAATAAAAAGATCATTATTAACACTTCATCATTCATTTGATTTAATATTATTTGAACATATATTTATCTTTTTATTTAATGTAATGGCATTGTCTTACATGTTCCTAAGTTCATGCTAGTTTTTTTTCTTCACAATTTAGCCGGCGACTGTTATATGATGTAAGTATTGTTTACTTTTTTAAACTCTTAAGCTAAACGTTGATCGCACAAATAGGTCAATTTTTCCGATGGCGAGGGTGTAAACAAATACGCACACATTTAAGCTCTTTCAGTTCCAGCAGGGTACAGGTTAATGACCTTAACTTTACTCTTTTCACAAATAATGAATTTTATTTGGCTTGTTTGCAACATTGAGGATCACTGGATCACAAAACATTCACAATGTTTTTAATATTATATTATAAATTTGTAGAAAAAGACATTTCTTTGACTGATGATATACAGTGTAACGCTATTGCTTATTCACATAATGTGAAACGAATTGAAAATATATTTTGCATGTATTTTATAAATTTGGTCTCACTTTCCATGTGCAGGTTGTTTATTTATTTAAACGAAATATGAGATTTTTCAATGTTTTCATCATATTGATTCGAGTTTACTTTCAATATTGTCATTTGACAGAAATTCAATACTCAGTCATGATTGGCCAGTCATTAGCTTTTTATAAAATGCGTTGTTTCAAACTAGCGGATAGAAGATCAATTCCTTTTACAAATGCAATTGTAATGGTTCATAGAATAATCAAATGTTTTATTAAGTACTAATAAAAAAAAATGTTCACGGAAAAACATTCGCTTTTCTCAAGTCACTGTAATGACTGTGAAACAAAAAAATGTTGTTTTTTTTTTTGTAAAGTAGTTTGAACCATGTAAAGTACACAGTTTGGTGTTAACTTATATAAAAAGACATTAAAATGGTGGATATGAAAAAATTGCCTGTTTATTTACACATCTTTATAGGTTTGTGTCATTATATTGGGATGGAGCAGCAATTTAGGGCAAGTGTCCGTTTTAATCATAACTTAGCCTCCGGATATTGTTTAAAGAATCATACAAAGACAAGTTATTCAGAGTGTCTTGCACATTTTGAAAAGGGCAATACCAGTTTCAATGCCATGGTGTACAGGAGATCATTTTTACTTTGTAGTTTGTGCTACGTTCCTACGAGTCTGAGTGTAAGAAAAGAGCCAGGATTTATGATGGCTCATACCCATATTACAGGTAACAACTTCATCATATAATATCTCACATTTAATATATTCTTATATTTAATTGTTAGTAATAATTATACGTGTAAATCGAAAACAGGGGAGATTCCTCGGTGTCTGTTCATAGGGGATAATGAAAAATTACAACACCCCTTATGCCCTCTAGTACCGGTTTAAGCGGCACTCAATCTTCAATACTTCATATGCTAGGATGAATTATCCTGAAGGACCAGAATAATAAACTGAAGTGAAGTACGGGGAAAACTTTTACACATGACTTGAAAACTACTTTTGTGAGGTTAAAAAGATCTGAGTGATCCCACATATAGATTAAGCAGACCTTCACTAGAAAACTTTAGAGGTCACATGCTTTCTTTTACTTGGCGACCTTACGCCGCTTTTCATTGAATGGCACGAAAGTGTCACATTGGAGGTTCCATGATGACCGCCGGTTGAATGATGACCGCCGTATGAACACATCTGCGGATGTTTCTTAATTAAAATACTTCACCAATTTCATATTTAAATGTTGAATTCTGCTAAAGCCGGTACTAGGGGCTTGGACGGTAGTTTGCACTTGACAGTACTGTCCATGAACAGGCTCAACCAAATCGGGCCTGCAATACTCAATTTTGCCTTTTTGACTTTCTTTAGGGATTCCTATTTACTCATTTTTTCACTATATAGCTACTTTCGACAAAACCATTTTCGCTATTTTTATTTTTCCCATAGGAATATAGATTTTAAAATAAACTTAATACAGTATTGGTACAATGTCTTGTGTCAGGAATATAGATATTTGTATAAGTGAAATTATATTCTATGTTTGGTAATTTGATACATTGATAATTACATTGTTGCCTTTGTTAGTTATAAGGTATCTTTGGTAAGTCTTGTAATAGAAATGCCTACTTGAAATAAACACCAATTTTGATCTTTAATGTTTATAAATATATACACTACAAGTTTGGTTTATTTTATTATTATTATTTTTCCCAAAATTTTCTGCTTTCATTAATTTTATGTACCTTCAAAATGTAATGTTATTTTCGTCTACCATTGTATGGTTTACACTTCTTAGGCAATGGCTTTCCCTTTCTTCTACAAAGTTTGAACTATTCCTTCTGGATCATTGATTCCAATGGCAATATATATTGTTTTGACAATTTAATATTACTAATATCGATCGGTGTTGTGGTTAGTGGTTTGGGGCAGGGGTGATAAGCTGGATGGAGTGTGTTCATGATATTACGTTTTTATAATTTCGTCAATATCGCTTCCAAAAGATTAGGGGTCTACAAATTTCAGATTTGTAAAATACTGACAAAATAGGAAAAGTCACAAGACAATACACACAGAAAATAAGCGTTCCTGCTCGTAAACGATCATTCGGTTCCTTTTTAACGTCTGTGTGGTAATCTGAGTGAAATCGACAACCTTCCGTTTTAAATGCCTGGATAGCTCTTTTTCTGAAATGAAAGAAAAGAAAAATGTCCGACTGCTTAAGAGAAGGACCCACATCAATTAGAGATATATAGGGATGAAAATATTTAAAAACCCGACAGAAGATAATGAAAAAATCATTTTGATTGTGAAAGAATATTGCATGACACATTTTAATTAATTAATAGATATTAATTAAGATGTGCATCATATCTAAAGATAATGATTTTTACATTTGCAAAGCCTCTACTGTCTTTCAGACGGTGATATTAGTAAAGACATTTGAGCCGCGTCACGACAAAACCTACGAAATGCGTTTTCGACCAGCATGGATCCAGACCAGCCTGCGCATCCGTGCAGTCTGATCAGGATCCATGCTGTTCGCTTATCAACTCTTTTACAAGTAGAGAAACTGATAGCGAACAGCATGGATCCTGATTAGACTGCGCGGATGCGCAGGCTGGTCTGGATCCATGCTGGTCGCAAACCCATTATGTTGGTTTTGTCGTGACACAGCTCATTTTCACTTCTGTTGCTTCATGTATTACTATGTAAAGAATCATGTTCGACGGTGAATTAAACTGTCAATAAATTTAAAGATATACTATCCTCAAATTTGATATTGGAAAATATTTATAATGGCTACATAGTCTTTTTGTAAAATATAAAATAAACATGTTATGACTTCACACAAAGTAGAGATATATGGTAAGCTGTAAATTCTACACACTAAAAGCGGACACTTTGTTCATTAAAAAATTAACTGTCATTTAAAAAAAAGAAAAGAAGATTTTCTTGACCCATAATAATGAAAACAGATTCCTATGCATAATTTGTACGTTCTTTTATTCAAATAAGATATATTCAGTAAGAATTTTATAGTTTCAATAATTTTTTACAAATAAATACAAGATAAAAGACCCCCTCAAACATGAGTATAGTTTTTCTTAAAAAATACCCCCCACCCAAACAAAATAAATAAAATGAAAAATAAATAATTAATATAAGATGACTTTTTGATACACTATAAAGATTGAGCCTAATTCATGCCTGACATATTTTACTTAAAAGTATACATGTATAATTAATCATATTAAAATGTACAGACTTGATATAATAAATTAAGTTGTAACAACTACCCTGTTCTAAGTTTAAATATGATATAACTTCTTTTTTATAGACACATCAACGGAGAATTTGGCGCTAAATAAACCAACAAACCAAAGTGCAACATTTTTTACATCTGCATATGGTAACGCCTCATCCACTCTTGCTGTTGATGGAAACAGGCAGACTGCAATGGTACAAGGTAATCGGTACGTATGTGCTCAAATAGACTCCGATTCTTCTGGCGAGTATTGGTGGATCGTGGATTTGGGACACATTTATTCCGTTTCAAAGGTGGTGATTTATAACCGGAACGACTGTTGTGGTGGGTATAAAAAATGCTATTCAATTTGTGATTGTTTACAGTAGTTTAACGTGATGGAGTAAATGTTGAAAGTTTAGGTGTAAGTCGAAATGAGTTTACCTTTTGCCATGTTTGTTACCAATTTAATATTCTACTTTTTATTAATACTCAATTACCCATGTGGCACATCCATAAATATCCTTCCTTTAAGATGTACGCTCAGATGATAAAACGAGTGAATTTTTAAGTGGTTTTATATTTATCTTAAACATGTCATAGTATCAATTATTTGTCAATCCCCATTAAAATAGACAATCTTATGAAATATATATCTAGTTCAACTGATCTTGATAACAACAACAACAACATGAGCGTAACACCACTTTAAATGATATAGAACTTCTAGTGTTTATGTTAAAAATGTTGATACCGCGTGATGCATATTTTAAGTATTATATGTTACTATTTTTTATCATTTTATCGTCCACATTTCAAGCATACCTTTTATAAACTGCTATAATCTAATACTCAATGTATATCATAATTTATAAATATGCACCGTACGGTGTAAGAGTGCATTTAATTTTAACAATATATTTATTCTGTATAATCGTTATAACAGATAGGTAAGCTGCATTACAATACGAAAATGTTTGTTTAGTTAAAGATATACATGTACTATGCTCATCCTTAGGAAAAATATTTTTATCACAGAAATTTATTGAAAGCTATGTAATTCTTACCAAATATGTCCAATTTGAATATGTATTGAAAGTTCGTAAAATTGGTCTTTCCTTAAAAACAACCGCAAGTTTTTTAAATGACACTTTATATTCACATTGAAACCACCTATAGACTATAGTGTGTAGGATTTTAAACACAACTGTGTGTGAAGTCAAATTATGATTATTTCATATCTACAAAGAGACTTTGTAGCAATTTTAAATATTTTCAAATATGAAATTTGAGCATAGTATATCTTTAAACGAAGCATATCATTACAATAACATCAATTAGTTAAATTGTTGCATCTAAAGCATACAGCATGGGTTGCAGTCGTCCCTTGACAACGTTTTTGGCCAGTTGTATGCATGAAATTAAGTTACAAGTAAAATACTTTGCAATCATCATCATCATCATCGAAATCCTCATGTCTCTTAAGATATACAGCTTTTCGTGTTCACTGCTGTATATATTGTCTTTACATGAACATCATATTTAATAAAACCCGAACGAATTTCAGTTCGTTGTTCTAAAATATATCCAATTTATTCGAAAGAAAAATAAATTTTTGTAGACTGGATCTTGAAATTGATAGTATCTCAACCACTTTTCCAATAATTTATTAAATTATCCTTTTTAAAAAAAATGGAAATATTTGACAAATCTAATTTCTTCAAGAGACCGGAACACAATTGGAACGATAGTCCGTAAGGATTAAAATGTTTTTGTTTTTTTCAAACGTCGGAAAGCATCGTAAGATAAGTAAAGTTATAAAAGGTAAAAAAAATCTGGCAAAAAGGGAGATTCTTTAGAGACAATTGAAGCAACAAATTTACATGAAAACTACAGATTCGGTTTGATTGTGAGTATTCATGAAGGATAATGTAAAAGTGCTACAAAACAATGACTTTGAGGTAAAAAAATTTTAATGATTGCAATATAAGAACATATTATTCATTTCGTTTCAGGCCATTGGCTCAAAGAACTTGATATAAAAGTTGGAGAAAGCTTAAGCGAGAAGAGTATGCATTTGTGTGAACATTACAAAGGACCCCCCGCGACGGGGTATATTGTGACAATTATTTGTCAGCAGCCGTTGTTAGGAAAATTTGTACAAATTAAAAAAACAATCAATGAAGGAATGGTATTGTGCGAAGTGGAAGTGTATCATTAGTTTATATAAGCATGTAAAAAGTATAACATAAGAAAATAATTCGGGTTTTTGCCAATTTGACTGTATGACAAACGTCTTATAAGAGCGTGCTAAATCTTAAAACACAATATGTTAGTATTTCCTAACATCTACATATTTCCTATTTACATTTAAAAATGCTTGATGTATTAAGTCATTTTTATGTTTTTAAAGAGAAGTTTTCATCAGTGTTAAATAAACACCGGTACCGTTGGCCTAGTGGTTAAGGCGTCCACCTTCGGATCAGTAGGTCGAGGATTCGAGCCCCACTGGAAGCGTTAATGTAAGGATGAATGTTTCTCGTGGGACTCGTTCCGAAATAGCCGCTTCATGAGCTGCGATGTAATTAAAATGAATGTTTACCGATGTCTATCCACCTGGCGCCTGGCAGGGTGGTAGGATTTGGGAGGACATGGTATGCAAGCAAAAGGTGTGTCATAAGTCAGAAATGGCTGGCCCTTTCAGTAGGGGTGACACTATAATAAACAAGACCTTTACCCTTACCTTTTTTTAATACAGTCATATGTATATATATAATTGTGTATATCATGATTGTGCATTCTTTGCCTATCGTGATTAAATTTTGCATTCTGAAAACAACAACAACAGCAAAAACAACAACATCTTTATGAATGAAATGAGAAATGAAATAAAATAAATTATGAACATTTTATAATTCCTAATTAGTTATTTGTTTTAAATGGTAGCTTTTCCAAAAGAATGATAGATCGAGAGCAAGTTCATCTTATACTATCAATATATGTTTTATTCATCGCCTCATAACGAAGAAGAGCATCATAAATATTTACTTAAATATATTTTATGCTCAAATTTGATATTTCTTAATACTGATAACTGCTATAAAGAGTCTTTTTTAATGTTAAATAATCATATTTTGAGTACACTCAGAGGCGATATGTTACGTTCAAAACTCTAGACACTATAGCTTAACTCAGTTTAAATATATTGTTTATATAAAAAAAATAAAGCATTATTTTTCCAGAAAAGTACCAGGTTAACATGAACAGTTTAAAGGAAATGTAGCCTCCAAGACATAGTTTATACATTCTCTTATACAAATTAGATATATTCAATATATATGTATCAAATGAGGAAGGGGAATAAAGCGAAACATGTTTTGATACTTAAATTTGTGTTGGTTTTTGATCCAATTGTCGCAATATCAATAACAATTTCCTTGATTTCATTAAATTTCTTCAATGAAAGTATTTTACCCAAAGACGAGCACAGTATACATAAAAAATACACAAAAAACTACACAAATAATCTTTAAATAATAAATAATCACCAAATAGCAAAAATTAACAAATTTTTAACTCACAAAGGTAATAAGTCCAACGAAGCAGCATTATTTTCAAGGGTTAGACTTCTCAATTAATAAGCTTCTGTTAAAAACTTTGCATTTTTTACAATACTAGTTCTACGTTTTGATGACATAATATTAATGAACTTTTGTACTGAAGGCCAAGCATTATTTGTAAATATATAAACAAGAATCTCATTTGCAACAACTGAATTTCACATTAGCTATTTTTTGGTCACTAATTACTTTTTTAGATTATGTGTAGTTAATTAATAAAATTGTCAATAATTAAGTGTTTCCATAACAGCCTTGTTGTTAGGATTGAGACTGTCATATTAGCCGTCTGCCTTTGGTCTCAGGCTAACATGACAGTCTTCAGCCCAATAACAAGGTCATAAGGAAAACACAATTAATTATTAACATTATAATATTATTGTAACAAGAACGTAAATTATAAAATGGTACTCATTTTCAACAACCATAAACGTAATTATATTAACGAAAAGTAATTTATGTTAATTTTACAAGTATTATTGTAATAAGAACATACAATTATAAAACGGTACCACAGAATGTAATTAAATTATACGAAAAGTAAGGTATGTTAATTTTACTTTATTGTAACAAAGGACATACAGGAATTCAATGGTTCTCATCTTCAACAACCACAACCAGTATACATTTATAATACAATAGGAGAACAATCTGCATCTCATTTGGATGTTATCATGTAAAACTCAAAATAGTCAAGCAAATAAGCATATTCAAGTGTAAGTGACTGTGCTTTCTTGAGAAATTAATGTAAATGTGCTGACAACAGTTTTAGCATATCGAAAATCACGAAAGTTTCCCTCTTTGCCAATGTTTATTTTACACAACATACAGCTCAATTAAATTTAAAGCTAATTAATTATATAATAAGCCTTGTCTGTGTCACTTCGAGTTAAATAGTAAATATTTTTTTTACCCCTGAACAATTTTGTAATCAACCAAACCCCTTCTTTTGAAAATCAGGCATTATTAACGATTGATTGATTTTCAATCATTTAAAAGCGACATCGGATTCTGTTTTGTTGATTGTCTCCATTGTTTATAACAAATGTGAAGTGAGGACTGAAACCGGCATTGATACAAATCAAATACTATAGTATCATATTCCGCGTGTATAACTTTTCCGAACAATGTTTGCAGGCAATTTGTAAGCACTAAATGATGTTTAAAATGAAAATTTGTTTACAAAAGAAATTTTATATATTTAAAGAGTGTTGATTTACTTTTTTTATATTGAATGAATAAACAAAGCTAGAAATGATTTATATATTTTCCAATAATTAAAGCAAGAAATCTTAGTCGTTCGATTGACGTGAGACATTCATAGACTTTATCAAACCGTTAGATGTAATCATTTAACTTTATGTAGCATTATCAATTATGAGTTTCAATGACTTTTTTCAGTTTTGTAAGCAAACATCAAAATAGTCAAATAAATAAATAAATATGCACGCAACCAAACGAACACGCAAATCATTCACTCAATCAATCAATACAATATAATTAATATTAATAAATATTTGATTTGATAGCAATAAATTATACGCTAAGTAAAAAGTTATTTTTGACTCTGTTTTGTGATCATAAATCGCAAGTTTTGCTAATGGAATAGTAATTGAATATGTAAATAAGCTATAAACATTAATGAGAAGCCTAATTAAGAGTAAAGGCGAGAGATATAAATATCGGGTTACAAATCAAACATGGTGAGCGATGGGATTTGCATTAGGGTCATCACAATATTTCTTCAGATGAAAACGTTACTGGGTAATTTTAGAAAGCTTTCTCACCAGAAAATAGATTGTATAATGCACAAGGCTTGAATTTTAAATTCAGAGATAAAACCACATAGAATATACCTAAGCATGGCTATACTGTGTTTTACAAAAAGTCATAATGATAATGTGTCATTGACAATAAAATTAGCTTACCTATTCAAAAAGGTATACGTACTTTTTCATGCTCGAGTGGTCAAATTGATTGTAAATGTAACAATTCTGTGGCTATTCACCGGCACAGTCTGTCCAATCTTATACTTATACAGACTGGCCTAATAAGCCAAAGGTGTTTTGCGCGTTGTTTGGTCACTTCGCCCAACCACAATAATATCCAAAACCTTTCTCAAAATAAATCAACTGCAGTGCCTCTTTTCATGTAAAGTGCGTTTAGATATTATACATAATATTGTGATAACATTATTTCAGAGAGAGAGAAACGTTTATGAGCTAATATCAAATTTCGCCTGAATTAGGGTTCTGATTTTATTCAAATATGAATACCTTATTGAGCTGCAAAGTTTTATCTCATCTAGTAAGCATATGAATTTGAAAGCTAGTTTTACAAAGTGCAACATAAACTCGTCCATTTTATATCGTTTATGATTGTCAGAAGGTCAATATTGACCATTGTTTGTCTTTGCAGTAACGATAACGTTTTCTACATTTTTGATAAATTAATAATATCTAAACAACAAAGCAAAACAAACAACACAACTTTATATAAATTTCAGTTTAAGTCTGAAATGGGATTTTTTTATAGATGTATTTTTTTCTCTACAAAAGACTTTTTTTCGTCTTCAACTGTAAACAAAACAGGAAATTGAGTAAAACAATGTCAGTATGTTTCGCACGCACATAAGAATATCATTTTTTCTTGTTCTATTTTTATGAACAGAGTAAGTTTTATCAATCTGAATGCAAAATTAAACTTTTACTATATTGCTATATTGCAGAACTAGAAATCAATATGTGTTACACCAAGGACATGCTTGTTACTGCAAGGACTAATGAATGTTACTGAAAGGACTTATAACTGTTAATTTACGTTTATTTTGTATCATTGAACTAACAATTAAATGTTTACAACATACAGAAATGAAAATAAGCTTTGAATTATTCTTAAATAGATCTTGAATTTGAATAGCAAAAGTAAGGGAAGCTCTCTTTTAAAGTTACAGGACGGACATATTTGTTACTGAAATGACAAAAAAAATTTTGGGGGAAAAGTTACAAGTCTTTAAGGTAACCAAGCAATGTTGTGAGTTCGCATAATTCAGTCTAAACTCGTCCCAGTCAATTTTATAAACAAGTTCACAGAGAATACCATTAGAAATTTTGAAGATTGTTATTACATGCTATATTTTTAATCAGGAGTTTTCTAAGTTAAATAATTAAAATTAAATGCAAAGTTCTTGACCTTTTAGAATGCATAATTTTAATCTTCCTGAATGACTGTAAATAAATTTCCAGAGATTCTTTCTTGTGACAAAGCCATCATTTAGCTAACAAATTGTCAGTGGCCCTTCTGTGTCTGAAATAACCTGGTGTCTTTTTCAACCATTCAAGCTTGAAATTTGCCAACTGACCTTAAGAGTTTTGGTGCAGCATTTTAAGCAAACACAACAAAATAGAAACTAACTGTGTTCACAAAGTACGATAATGCCAGGAATTTTACATGAGGCCAAAATAGGACTCGGAAAGTAAACAAACAGTCATGACATGATGTTCTAAGTTTCACGGGACTACTTTTTAATGACTAATTTTAGTAGTTTTGAAGACAACAATTTTCTTTTGTAAAAATGCCTTAAAGGCTTGCTTTTGAATGATATTAGTTAGGTTTGATTTCTATTTTGCAAAGTAAACTGTAATTCTATGCAAAAAATAAGTCTCTGTAGAGATAAGTACTATGAACTTTCCTTCAATATACTGGTACTGCCTTATTACTTTTATTTCTAAAATCGCTACAGTTATTTTGTGAAATGACATGCATGTCAATAGCAACAAGATGTATCCTTACAGTAACTTAATGTTGAGGATTCTAAAGGGTGCAAGATTATTCAGATTTTCCTAAATTTTACAAAAGCATGTACTGTAAAAGCAAAAAATAACCCAATTGAATATATATATTGAAACAAAAATGAAACTTTATCCAAGTTTGAATGTAGATATGTTAGTACAGTACATTGAGTTTGAATTAAAAAGTCCTTTCAATAACACAGGTTGTCCTTCGAATAACAAAATAACATAAAGCACAAGTTTTAAATGCATAAATGTCTAATTATAGAATAAATATATTAATGATAAATATATTATGCCAACAAGAAAATGTTTATCGTATCTTTATCCATAATTATATGTTAAAGAAGAATTGTGTTGTATTTTGTACTTTCAGTAACAGATTTTGTACTTGCAGTAACGTTATTGTAAGGACAGTTACTGCAAGGACTTATTCGGGTTATTTTACAGCCTGTTTACACAGATAAGATAAGGGAGACAATTTTGATCATTTAATTCTTGACTGAAACATATTTGCTTATAGCAGCAATACAAAAGGGAATCTTTCTCATAAGTTATATAATAAGAATGTCGTTACTTAAAGGACACTGTTCGGAATCATGGTTCCAACCTTTAATCAATGTCTTTCAATTTTCTAAATCCTATTTAAAATGTCCATATGTTTTGTTGCTGTAGCCATGTATTACACCTATCACCTTCTTTTGAAGAACACGCTGCAACAATTTACTTAAACTAAAATAATCTACTTATAGTACTGTTACTTGAAGGACATTTTTGTCAAAAAAGTTGGGGACAAAATTATAACTTGCATTTTGCAAATTGAAATACTTAACTGAGGCTTTTACTATATAAAAACATTATATAAAAGGTTATATTTTGCGTTAGTTAACAAAAATATGTATTTTAGTAATACAAATTTACAGGATAAACAGCTGAAATTAGGATTTTGACCTAAGGACGAGGGATAATCAGTTTTAATTTAGGTTTATGACACTACCTGAAAAAAATATGTTGAATATCTTATCCTGTAAATGTCTTAGTTAACAATATTTTATGTACTTACACGCATGCAAATTTATTTTTTATAAAATGATCATGCATTTTGTGAAAATTTGAAAAGGACTAGATTACAGGCGAAATCTGATATTGGCTCTTATACGAGTAAATTCAGTAAAGGTGTATGACTTAGTGCTCATTTTTCAGCAGTCGTTCAAATGTGAAATTCATAACTTCAACATTTTTTTCGCCATATTTTAAAATCTTGGTATTAAATGTTAGGGAATTTATTATTCATAAAGGAAATAAATCTGTCATTTCAATGATTTCAAGTAATAAGTAGATGTTTAATCACAGAATCGACGAAAGTGGGGAACAACAGAGATGTGACCTTTGGTTTTTTGTAAGAATCACTCGATCGGCAGTTAAATCGAAATTAATGAATACTTTTTTGGCCAATGCGCTTTTAAAGGATAAACAACCCATACTTATTAAATTACTAGTATATTCATTAAATGGCACAGTGCTTTCGTTTCTACATAGCGAGCTTCTATAAACAAAATTTTCTTTCAGTAAAATTATCTCGTAAAAATCACGGGTGCGGGTTTATTTTGATCGTAGGCTTCATAATACTCAAAATATAAAGAAATTCATAATTGTAAATAAATTGTAAGCCATTAGATATTTTACGTCATTTCAATATGAGCCAAATGAAAAAATAATCAAACAGGATTGGCCAAATTGAATGTCCCAATATGTTATGTCAAATTATAAAAATCTAACGTCATAGAGTGAACCATATAAATCGTCGGTATTATCGGTATTTTTTAATGGTTTATGTGGAACAATGCCACAAAAATACCAAAGGAAAAAAACACCGAATCCATAATGTAGGTACGTCATTCAATTAAAAGACTAAGATTTCTTGCTTCAATTATTGGCAAATTTCATTAATCATTTATTTATTGTACAAAACTTTCATCCGTCAAATATTGCATTTGTTTTCAGGAAACAGAAATCGATTCTACATGATTTATTTATTTATTATTCAAAAAGTAATTTAACACTTCCGAAATATATGGAATTTCTTTGTAAACAAGTTAGATTTTTTTCTCATCATTTATGTGCTTTTACATGCATACTGGGATTGTTCGAAAGACACCTGAAATCTGTCACCTCACCATTATGATTGTTATAAAGGCAGTTTTTGTTCCCTTTTTACACCCGTTAATTAACAATGAGGTAAATTAACAAGACAGAATCTAAATGTCACTTAAATGCTGGTTAAATCAATTAATAATTAAAGTAGTTTGATTAACAATGGGCTGATATTTTTTCATGAATATTTCAGATACTGTTAAAACAATAGAAATAAATAATTTGGATATCATTATAAACTATTTCTTGAAACAATATTCATAGAATTCTACGTGATTTGGTATGAACATTAATATGATGAATAATATTTTTTTTTGTTCTAGAAATATATAGATATGAAATATCGGATCATATATTTCACACTCAGCCATACGACATTTTTTATGTGGATGATTGTCATTTTAAATAATAAAAACATTTTGTACAACTTAACATTATTATTTATAATCTTACAGACCTCTCATTATGTACCAATACGCTTAAAAGATTTCTTGAAAAGCAAAAATGGTAGAAATAACAAAGGTATTCAAAAGAATTTACAATTGTTTAATGGATAATCATTAAGTAATGTTAAGGAAACTGACTGTATCTCGCTCAAATGTTGACAAAAGACTTGCCTTTTTCTTGGTGAATAAGATAAAATTGCGTTTGATTGTAAGTAATATACAACGCAGATGGTTTGTGAGCTATTATAAACAAAATATTTCATGACCTGAATAAAGCGCTGGTATTTACATATTGGACCAGTGAATGCAATAGAAAAATGTTTTTATGATGTTTTTTTTCTCGTAGTGGTTATTATATTTTAAGATACACCAGGGAAGTCTTGTAATAATTTATATGGCTTATGAAATGTAGCCAATGAGGAAGTTCAAGACCCATCATGCCCGAGGAATGCATTTTTTAAAAAAGTTTTCTATAAAGTGTCATGTTCACGTTTGGAAAAAGTTGCTTACTGGTCAATTACATGAATTATTACTTGAATTATTCATTTATGATGATTTCTGGTAATGCGATAAAGTTTTATTTTATTTTTTTTGGAATTCAACTTATTACTTAGTTAACATGGTACTAATTTTATGACAAACAATTTCATATTTAGTGTATCTTTATTCAGATGATAAGCATCAAAGATACTCTAAAACATTATTTACACTTTACAAAACTGATATTTTTCAGAGCAGAGGCATATTACGCCCTTGAGCTGCACTTGTTGTATATACATTAATTCTAGAACTTGCAAGAGATTAATCTACAGTTTCAAAGGATGACATCCCTAGATTTATTGCCAAAGAAATAAAATCAAGCCCAGTACATAGAACATAATCTAGAATATGACACTGCAATATTTACTCATTCACTGGGCATAAAACACAATTGGAGGTCATCGTGTATATCTTGAGTAATCAAGATATACCGATAATATCTCAATCTACATAAAATACAGTGAAATATTTTCTTACACAATGCACGTTAATCTGATTAAGAAACGGCAAAAAAAAAATTAAAAAGAATACGAAATCATCAGTAGAGTTTTTGAAAATATACTTCATCATTGATAGCTTAAGTTACAGTACACCCGGTTTCACTTGTGTCCCATCAACGAAGTATTGATAACATTAGTATTTTTTATGCTGTTTTCAAAATGCGCAAACTATAGTAATATTTCACTTTGATAAACAAGCGTTTTAACAGTGAATTTAATAAATTTGTCCATACATCAAGCACTCAAAAGAGTGAGAAATGTTTCGCATGTTCAGAAAGACGTTTTATGCAGGGAGATTTTGACGAAAATTATGAAAATAAAAAAGCAACATTTGTCTAACTTCATGCATATAAATGTAAACTAATGATAAACTTCCACTTCGCAAAATGCCATTCCTTCATCGATTGTTTTAGAAATTTGTACAAATTTTCCTAACAACGGCTGCTGACACATTATTGTCACACTAGGCTCCGTCTCTCCAGGGGGTCCCGGGTAATGATTACACAAATGCATACTCTTCTCGCTTTCTCCAACTGTTATATAAAGTTCTTTGAGCCAATGGTCTAAAAAGAAAGAAATACTTTTAAAGCAATGACATGCGGCAAATCAAAATGTGAACGAGTAGGAATAGTAACTACATGTTTAATCAAATATACTTCAAAAAGCGCAGACGGACTGACCATTGAACCTACAACATAACATAAAGTCATTAAGACTTTTCTAAAATCAATATAATGCTATCAGTCTGATTATTAAAGGTAGTTTATACAATGCACCGCCTAAAGAAAACAAAGGGATTGTAATTAAAAAAATGTGACAAAAACAGGGATATTCACACGTTGTAGTATAAATAATAATATTCCTGGTTTGATAGTTTAAATGTGTGTAATTATAAGGTTTTTAAAAAATAAAAACTAATGTTCATGCATAATATTCTTATTGCAATCTAGATATAAAGTATAATCAAAGAATTTGTTTGGATAAAGAATCATTTTACTGTAATAAAGAATTACGTCTGCATATGTTCTAAAGGGTAGAATAGTGATGGGTATAGGGAATAAGACAGTTGACATTTTGATAATTATTTGTACATTTTGGTGCGTTTTTCCGAAAAAATAATACATTTTTGTAATACCTTAATGACAAGACTGACACCGTAACATAAAGTACTACACCAACAAGTAATTAGGAAGACATTTAAACCACATTTAGACTGGGAAACAAAACTGCTACAAATATTGTCACTCCAGTACTACAACGTTACTTCACAACAGGTTTCTACTTGACCCTCCCGACGCCTTTACGCTTTATACGGTGAAGTTGGCACCCTTCTTGACACCGTTCTTGACAGCCATTTGAACTTCCATAAAAGTATTTTATTTGAAATTACTCCAGTTTTATTAAAAATCCCATTAATTTATTTATTAATTAATTAATTATTTAAGTTATTAATTAATTAATTTATTTATTTATTTATTTGTTTATCAAAGAAACGCACGTTATTCAATATCTGGAATTTGCTGTTATGACTTTAAAATCATGTAACTGGCAAAATAACAGCTGTGGACCATCAACGACAAAACATGGACTCATGATTAGATTTTTATTATTCTGAAGTTAACATGAGAAACCACCTACAATTAATCAGGTTGTGTATGACAAGAGTCAGCTGAATATATTGATGACAAAGTGAAAGACCTACACAAATATACCTATGTTGATGGTAAACAAGATCAAATGAAAAAGAAGAAAAACGTTAAAAGAGAACAGAACATACGTTTTATTTTAGACTTGTACAATATGATACTTAGAATATATAATAGAAAGTACAAAAAGAATGTTACAATTTTGTATTTTGTTTTAAGATTGGTTGTCATTGTCTTTAATTCACGCAAACTATATACGTCGTCAAACATGGCTGTTGTTCATGCGTAAGTTGTGTTAACTACAAACTTTGCAAACGAAAGTTGCTGTTACGTCATTAAATGTTTTACTTTAGAAGACAGATGAAGAACACTAAAGTTACTACTGATCAATATCCTTCTTAATTCTTGTCTGTTAACCCATTACTGCATAAGCATTTTGTGAAATTGTGAAAAATGGCTGTTTTCATTGAAAAGTCTCCCGTTACAAGTTCAAATTGCTTATAAAACTATAAAAAAAACTGTTTCAAACCTAATCAAACTTGGCACAAATGTTGACTGGACCATTGCCTTTGTAACAACATACCCAGGCTTTAATTTCCTGTTACCATGGCAACGAGGAGACATCTCAAAATTGCCAAAAACAACTATTTTGCGTTGATTTTTTCCATCAAAATTAATGTCAAAGTGCTGCAACTTCTCAACAGATTGAGATAGTGTGGAATGCTTTTCAGCGTTGGTTACAAGTTACCTTAAGCTTATGATCGATCTGGGGTCATTTTTAGCCTCTCACAACTCCAAACTTTTCTTGGCGATGAGGGGGACAGCCGCCCCCTTCAAAACCGCGAACAAAAGGGGGCACTTCCCGCTTCTGGCAACCTCCTGATGTATCTTTTTGTTAGGGGCCGTGCCGAAAAAGGGGTCACTTTTTTAAACAAAAACAAAGTGTTGGGGGCCTAAATAGGGCATTTTTCACCAGCAACAAAAAAGGGGGAGGGAAAGGCGTTAAAATGCGTGTATATCGGGTAATGGGTGAAATGAAAACACAACGTGTATATGTATAATTATATGGAAATCACGGTTTGTATGAAGCTGTTTAAAACTTATAAACTTTCAATTATATTAACTTATGTAAGCAATTTAAAATAGATAACATTTTTTACACTCACCACAACAGGCGTCGTTCCGGTTATAAATCACAACCTTTGAAACGGAATAAATTTCTCCCAAATCCACGATCCACCACTGATCCCCAGAAGTCTGACCGACTGTTTGGGCACATGCGTACCCATTAGGTTGTATCATTGCAGTCTGCCTCTTTCCGTCAACAGCAAGAAAGGAGGAGGCGTTACCATATTCAGATGTGTAATATGTTGAACTTTGATTTGTTGGTTTATTTAGCGCCAAATTCTCCGCCGATGTGTCTGAAACAGAAAGAAAATAAGTCACTTAAAGCAACCTACAACTTTGTGATATCTATACATAATTATATCATGTTGGCACCAATCAATGCGGGTGTTACAGATACCCCTTACAATGTATTAAATATCTCTCAGTTTCACATGTATCATATACTGGTAGTCTAATAGTTAATCAATGTTTAATTGAAATCAATTCAACTTGGTATTTTATTGAGCGATTGATCCACCTAACATGACGGCTTAGTTTTATTTAAAACAGCTGAAGAAGTTGTTGTGCAAGCCCAACCAATCGAATATATTAAACCTTTTCTTTTGCTAGAGCTTAAATTAAAATGTTCTTTTGATAAATGATGCCATTAAATGCTTTAAAGCATCATAAAAAGGAAAGCAGTTCTATGTGTTAAATCACTTGTCCATTACGACTTCGATTTCGAATTTATCCTTATTATTTTGAAGAAGGAAAGAATTCCCTTTTAGTTTACCGACAAGTAGTGTTTCTAAGCCGTTATACGCCTAAATGTAAATAATCGGCAAAAAGACCATAAACATTTACTATCAGTAGAAAAACTAATTGCAGAGCTCTTAATAATTATCTTTAATACATATTTTTAGTAAGTCTTAATTTATTTATTGTAGTCGAATTCAAACTCCTTATTATATATATTTTTGTGTTTTTGTTACTTCTACTTTTAAACGCTTCTATTTGGTCTTATTAGAAAAGTATCAGTATATTAACCCATGTTTTAACCATTGAGTACAGTCGAAAAAATTCTTCCAACTTATTCCTGATTAATATTTCTAACTTTCTAACTTTTTTTCTTTTTATCCTTTATGTTATTACTTAAATTATAATGTTAAATTTATATTTATATTTAAATATTGGAGAAAAAATAACAACAACAACATTTTTATCTGTTTGTGAATCTAAGAGAATACCATGGAAAATCAAACTCTAAAATATATATATCAAGGGACTCTTTTGCTTTTAGTTTTTCATATACATGTATTCACAAATTGTGTAAATGAAAATATAATTTTGATTAATATGACTGTCTCAAAAATAATATTATTAAATTTCTAATACAAAAAAATAAATTATAAAATATAAAAAAGTAAATAAATAAAAAAAAATAAAGCTGAACTTAAATCAATGACAACTGCATGAATAATATATGTAAAACACTCGCCTAAAGGCTCACTCAATCCGACTTTGGAAATTTTCAATATTTTGTATTATGTTACTATTACTCGTCAGGGATCAGCCTCTCTTCTGAATAATTCAATATCATACCATTTTTCAATTCAATAATTGTCTTTTACAAATGTCTGTTAAATTTCAATTTTATAAAATACATAATCGTAGGATACGGCTTTCTTAATGTTGATTAAAACAATATCTCAATTGTGACTAAAGATAATAAAGTTGTTACCTGAAATAGGGGTATGAACTAAAACAAATCCGGGCTCTTTCCTTACACTAAAATTCGAAGACACATAGCACAAACTGCAAAGTAAAAACGACCTCCTGTAAACCATTGCATTGAAACTAACATTTCCACTTTCAAAATGTGCATAACACTCCGAATAACTTGTCTTTATCAGGTGTTTCAAACAATATCCGGAGGCTAAGTTATGATTCAAAAGGACATTTGCCCCAAATTGCTGCTCCATCCGAATGTGGTGATAAAAGCTAAAACATATGGTTAGATATAAAGAAAAAGTTTTCATATCCACTATTTAACGTTTTTAACACAAGTATATCAACGAATTTAGTAATTTACATTATTTGAGCTTGGTCCTGCCTTACACAAAATCGCATTATTTTGCAAAACAAGTTGAATTATTTTTCAATGACATCATTATTTTAGTGATTTGATAAAATCGAATGCTTTGCGTGTTGACTATTTCTTTATGACTACTAAATAGAACATTTGTTTTTTCCAATGAACCATTTCAATTACTTTTGTAATAGGAATTGATTCCTTTAGACGCCAACTTGAAACAAGGCTTTGATAAAACTCCTGATTGGACGGCTAGGAATATGTATTGAATTCCTGTCAAATAACAATATTTAAAGTTAACTCAAATCAATATGATGATATTACTTAAAAGCTCATGTTACTTGTTTATACAAATAAACAACAAGAAAACTGGCCTAGCAAGTGAAACTTGAACATATATTTCAAGTTCATTTAAAGTTCATTTAAAATTATGTCATCTTTTTTTAAAAAGGGTATTTTATGATACAGGATTTGAGAAAAAACATAATTTGTCTATTTCGATCGTCAGTTTTGCACACACGACACCGAAAGTGATTTACGCATTGAGTATAAAATTACCAATAGAAAGAAAACTTCCATAAAGTGCATGCAAAGAAGAATAAGTTTGAAGTAATGTCAATGTTTGTTAAAACATAAGGACAAGTTCAATAACGAAGATTTTATTGATTATACTACATTTCTCCAAACATACGAACAGGGAATGCGGGCTTATGATAAAAAGAAACGTTTTGGTATGGATTTACAATAAATTTTACAGGAAATTGTCTGATTGAATATATTTTGAATTCGTTCTGTGTCTCGATGCTTGAAATAATTCTGAAATAAATGTCAAGAATTGAGGACAAATTATCAATATTTAAATTTTGCTGTTTTCATAAAAATGAAAAATATATAAATATCAAAACAAAAAATAAATGACAAAATTTCAATATTTTAATTTTGCTGTTTTATAAAAATATACAAAATATATCAATATCAAAACAAAATTTAACAAAATTTCAATATTTTAATTTTGCTGTTTCATAGAATCAAAAAAAATTTAAGATTATCAAAAAAATAAACAATGGACAAATATTCGATATTTTAATTTTGCTGTTTCATAGAATTATATTATAAAAAACATATTAATAAAAAATGATAATGATTTGTTTAATAAGAACATTAGAAACCGGGCTTTAAACCCTGAAGTTCTAGTTGTAATTAATACCTTTGTCCTGAATGATTGAGTTCGTATGTGACCTTAATAAAGTAATCGCATATCAAATGGAAGAATTATTTCAATGTAAATGCATTGCTTCGACAGACCGTATCAGACACTGTAGACATTATCTTCCTATTCAATTATCTAATAGTGTGTCCTAGTCATTTATCTTGAAAAGATCTGAATTTTAGATGCTCAACCTCATCAATCAATTTGCCATTGAAAACCAAGCTCAACATATTCCCATTACCAGTGAACTATCTTATCATAACATAAATTTAATGTAACTATTAAGAAGAAAATGACAAATGTTATAAATAACTTATGTTTTGTATTACCGTACTAGAGGACTTTATATGATAACACTGAAATCCAATCCTTTTTTTTTGTAACTGCTGTGTTTTCAATTTCATTCAAGACCTTGCATGTTAGGGAAATTTCCAGCTACTTAACGAAGATCTGTAGTTGTGCTCAGTAGCTGCTCGTGTCTGAAATAATGTTTTGTTTGTTTGTTTGTTTCATTTTACGCCTTTTTTCCAACAGTATTTCAGTCATATAGGCGGGTAGTTTCCTAACCATCGTTCCTGGAGAGTTACACCAGTACTAGACTACCTTACTCCTCACTAAACTACTAAAGCATCTCCCGGGGATCGAATCCGCGCCAGAGAGGTAATTGGATTAGCAGTCATCGACTGTAACCCCTCGACGACGGAGGTGTTTCCCCTACCCATCGTTAAATCTTAAAAGTCACCATTTGACTTTGACAGAGTTGGCATGATAAAATACCAAACGAATGTATACTTGTACTAAAAACTTATATACCAAACTTGAGACACATATAAGAAACATATAAAAACACAGACTCTTTCTGGCAAATATATTTCCCGATTATCAAAACTGGGTCTTTAAAATATTACTGTTCTATTGATGTCCTTTTTTAAAGATTCGTTATTTGGTTTCATTAACGCTGATTTTAACACATTTTGATCATATCTCGACGGTTGGTCAATCTAACTGACTATCCTCGCCTTTCTTGTCAATAATTACCAAATTCTCTGCAAGTGAGCTACTACATTTCCTACGTGATAACTGACTCAGCGATGTGAGACAAATGACCATAAGATTAAATCCATATCGTATATAGTTAACTATTTCTAATAACTGACGAAAGCAACACATTCTAAAATATATATTGTATTGCAAAAATATGCCTCGTGGCTAAATGAGTTTTAGTTTTGCAAAGAAGAATACAAAATTGAACAATAAGTATGACAAAATTGAACAGTTATTCTGATTTTCACCATTTACAATTGTATTGGCACGATGTCGCTTTAAACATAAAGCTCTAATTAAGGCTAACTTAAAATACTATTTCTCTTTAGAAAGCAATGCAGGTTTTATTTATTACAATTCATTAATTTGTCGACCTTGCTGTATAAGGCTCAGACTCCGGTTCAAACGTTATATATGAATTCTTAGGAACACTCAAACACAACTTCAGTAGAAGTATTTGCATTAGCAAGTGCCAGTTATAAACTGTAGGTTAGTTAGTAGAATTGTTTTCGAGAAAAATCTTGATAGTATTTTAGATGTAAGCACTAACTAAACTAAAATCATCATCGAAATATTGTCAAGAAGAAGCTTTTTTGTGTTATGAAACGGATTTCAATTCTTAGTTAAATAATAGCATTTCGTTTTTAAAACACTCGTACTGGGAGTGCAGCAGTAATTAAAATGAATAAATCAACTTTTACCACAAAAGAAAAAAAACCGTGTAATTGTAAACCTTAAATGCTTACAAACCTGTAATGCTTGTCATGTTTGATCATTCTCTTTGAGCATCTGCCTGTTATCAAAAGATCTATGTTGACAAAGTACTTAATAGTGTGTGTACTTCAGTCATTTTAAGAATGGTTACATTCCGTGTGGATAAAACAATTTTAAAAAGTTCCCTTTGTTTATCAGTACAAAACATTTCATTGCAGAGACTTTATGTAATAAGACGACCGTATTGAAACAATTGTATGACGGTGACAGTGATTTGTTTGATGTATTATAATTTTACTGGCAAATAAAATAGTTCGGTTTCAAAACCTTTGACAACTGTTTGAGAATATACAAATCAAAATTGATTTCACAGAACACTTTCTACATTAATCAAGAAAAAAGATCTGAATTCTCGCTGACCTAAAATTAATGTTTTTTTTTTTTTATCACAAATCAATTTGTAAGGGAGTGCAAATATCAATTTCTAGATTTTAAGATCAATACATCAATTTCAATCTATTCCCAAGAACAACTAAATGTCTGAAATTAGATTATTGTACCAGCATTGCAATTTCTCTCTAAAATGATTCTTGTTGTTTTGTTTTATTTGACAAGCAATAAAAAGCTAGAATTCTGATTGAGAGCAATGAAATAAAAAGTTACAGACTCGGTTTTATGAGCCTGGTCATTAAGAAAAGAGGAAAATGCAACATATGCATAAGCGAAATTCAATCCGAAATACTTAAACACTTTGAGTAAATGAATGCAGTTGGAAAGAAAAAGAAAAAAATACTTATGTAAATGAAATTCTATCTTAGTACAAACCTTTGAACAAACATACCATTAAAGAAACCATAATTTTCTTGCCGAAATTTTCTACAAAAAAAAATGATGATAAAGAAGACGATTGCATAATTATTGCACTGGTACGTTTAATTTATGATTATTATTATATTCTAGTTACATATCTATATTTTTCTTAGACTATAATCTGGACATAACATTTAAGTAGATACTAGTATAAATAATGCAAAAGAGAGAAACGTAATCCCTAAAGAACGTCCAAAACGACAATAATGAAAATGTTGCAGGCTCGGTTTGAGTGAGTCTTTTCATGGATTCCAAAAATTCATTGGTTATTGATATAAATAAACGATTGGTTAATTACAAATTAATGAATATTGTATTCATTTGAGGGTATATGTAAATCCATGTACACATTTGTATAGAAAATGTTGGTCAATGCACTTATTTGTTGAAAACACTTTCCATATATATATGTATACATGTATTCTGTTGTTATTTTAACGTGACTTACGCTTGTTTGTTGTGCCGTTATTATGATTGTTCTATTTCTGTCAGCCGAAAAGAAGATTTTCTGAAACACAAATGTGAATGCAGGATATAGAGTCATCTTTGTTAGTCAAAACTGATGTATTAGAACAAAGCATTATAACAATAAGAAGAGAACGTTTCAAAATACCATAGAAACTTAATCATTTAGGTAATATATCATACAATAGCAGTCTTGTGAAGCATTGATGATTTAATGGTTATGAGCACATTCATCGTGAATAACAAACATTTGCGCTTTTTGTAACTATAAAAAGCTTATTGCTTTTGAATATATGTTACCCTTTAAACGTAAACAAAACGTATATGCAGACACTGTCAGTTTCCATGATTCATATTATAAACACACTTATTTGTTTACAAATTTGATATTTTCATTATACAATATGAATTAATGTCAATTAGTAGCATAATAAATAAAATTTAGAAAAGATTGCGTACATCAATGTATCGTTTACGGGTCAATTTTCATTCGTTTACATTGAGCAAACATATTTTAGGGTATTTATGTGTAACTGTTGATGTTTTTTTCATGTCAACAGGATGTTGTTTTGATTTATGGATATGTTAAGAAAAAATTTAATGCATTTGAAATAATAAAACCACAAGTCTATTACCCACATATAAATAAATGCATTTTATTGCACCGAATTATGTTTGAGACAATATATTTAACAAATAATATTTTATTTTTCCAGCAAGTGTATTAAAAAGAAGTAACATATTCCAATTCAACCACAGATTCATTCCAATGCAGCGTGTATTGCTTATTTGAAATGGAGGAACGAGTTTTGTAAAGTTTCCATTGATTGTTGATTGTATACGCTATCTTTGGTAATATCATATTAATTTCATTCAACCAAGAGAAGATCGAAATAACTTTGAATTATTAACTGTATTCCCAGTGGTATAAATTAATCACCGTTCATAATAACGAATATAAAAGCAAATTTTATGTTTAAAATCCGTTCCAAAACGGAAAACATTTAGCTTTGTAAACTAAATGATGGAATTCCAAAATAATATTACATACTCAATACAAAATTTGCTTTCCATTACAAAAATATAAATTCATGATTTAATTATTTGCAAATAAATTGGGCAACACGTCTTCTATTTGAATTAACTTGCATTGCATTGAAGGAAGCCTGCTTGTATCTGGAATTCTTGAAATTATATTTAAAGGTATATTAAAATGACATTATATATATGACATTTATAGAGAGTGATAAAAGTCAAAATAAGTTTATATTTTACCATAATTCCTTTAGATTTTATAATTCATTTCGCATGAACGATAAATAACTCATGTGGCCCAAGGAAGATTTTGTTGTTCATTGTTATTAACGTGGATACGTTCAATTTAAATTAATAGTTGGGCATTTTTTTCTATTTTACTCAGATTTATATTTTATCCTAAACGTTTTCCAGTAATAATTGTTGGTCAATCACCATTATCACAGTCAATCTTTTTGAAAAATAAAGTCAATTCAGCTCAGCTTGACAATAATAAAATGAGCATAATATTACTTTAAGCCTAAAATACATATATTTCTGGGATTTTTTTTGTTTGTTTGTTTTGTTTTTTGTTCTTGTTTTTTTGCCTCTTACCTGGTGTTTTGTGTCAAATTTTACTTGTTTTTAATCCATTATTAACTATTGAATATTAACATATAAAAAGCAATATTTAGACTGATTACAGAAAGAAAATAATATTGATTTCAACAAAAAAAAATATCCTAATAAAATTTATCTCAAAACACAATGGCCTCTTCTATGTCGGCATGTTTCTGCCAAAAATTAAACATTTTACTATCACATTATTGTTCTGACTTACTAGGTGATTTTTGTGTTAACACATTAAATAAAAATCAGATTATCTAGACACACTTTTTGATACAAATAACTATTCATATATTTTCAGAAGCGAGGCTTAGCATAAGCTTCTAGCTTTCTACCATATTCTAATAGATAACTTGTAAAGTATACTGTCTTATACACTTATGCATGCATTGTTGTTTTGTTTTAATTTTGAATCTTTCTATAAATATGTGTTTGTACTTTATATGATATAACGTTATTATGTTAGCAATTTATTGAAAATAAATATTGCTTAAACCACTTATAACTATTTATCTTTTCAAAACACGAAAACTGCCAATATTTCCGGATAATATATTAACGGTTATCTGGAAATGTTTTTTGTTAGATTTCAACGAAATATTTATTATCTACATTTATTTGTGTTACCTAGTAAGTTACCATTGTTGTCCATAAAAAAGATATATTCAACTGGTTTTAAAGTGTTAATTTCTTTAATATTTTTTATACCTGCTACAGTTATGAACATTTATCGCTAACAAATAACAGATATCAATCTGACAAAATATTTTCAGCAAAAAGCTGTGATCTACTGTTGTAATTGATATTTTCGCTAACATTAAATTGCTTGTTGTGGTTATCTCCAAAAATATATTTGAAGCCGACCTCATTAACCTGTAATAAAATATTAAAATATAATGCTATACATGTACGTTCAATTACAAAATCAATTAAATATAATTTATGAGCCATTTCCTTTGACAATTTATATTTAGATTTACTTTCATTTAAAAAGGCACGTAGCAATGGTGCGACTTGTATTAAACAGAACCTGAATAAAGAGAAGAAATTTCTGCCTGATATGTAAGAAAAACACGTTACTTACCAGTTATATCATCAGGCGACACACGTGATCACTGATCTCTCTTGTATACGCAACGTATACAAAGAGTTTAAGCAATTTAAATTCGAGAAATTCATTTGCATTATTATAAAGATTATATGCATCATTCACGATTATCCAATGAAAAGCGACGTTACAAACGTATAGTGTTGTTTATATTCACAATCAGAAAATGTCTTCAAATAAAATTGAATAATAAATTATGCATTAACTGAACAAAATAATGATATAAGCTTAAAGTTAAAAGTACTTGAACAGACGAAAGCACCAATGACAAACGTCAAATGTTTTTTTCCGTTTTTACGTTATGTATCTGGTCAATTATCTAAAAACCTTTTTTTAAAGTACTAGTACATTTAATATAAAAAAGCACCGTTCTATTCTTCTGAATATTTACCGAAGGCATAAAGTAGGACAACTGTAAAAAGGAGATTCTGAAATATTTATAACTATGCAATTAAAAACATATTAAACATTTAAAATTGTAGGTTATTGATCGGGTGCCATTAAACAATACAAAGCATATGACATTTGAAAAACGTAGCAACATAAACTCAAATAATTAACCTGTCGTACGTTTTTGTCAATTTATTCAATATAATTGATTTTCCTGTCAGATGCCTTACCCTTTTGAACTATCCGATATAAAAACAAGCAAAAATGATACATTTACATGGAACATCAGTTATTTTTTATAGAGGTGTAAACATGATTGCTGAAGCAAACACGGAACCTTTTCTTCAGATTAAAAATATTTGAAACAAAACAACATGCATATAATGATTATATCAGCCATGTTGCAGTTCAGAGGTAAATATCCGTCTCGATGGTACCCGCCCGTTGGGTGGTAACGGACGAGTGTTGCCGAGATAATTTGTTCTGAACTGTAAACATATGCCATATATTTTTTTCTTGCATATTCTATCAAATTCTATCACATTTAAAATGGTTTACTCCAAATTAAATATTTTTTCATCGGAAATGATATTATTTTATCCTTATCGCGTGGACGCAGGTTCATTCTAAAATGTGTCTGTTTCTATTGACAGTGCTTGTTTATATTTACTGAACCAAAATATTGGCATATTTGATACCAAAATTTGCAGATACGTAATGATTACATGGTGGCTTACATTAACTAAGCATTTTAAATAACTTTAAAGAAAATTATTAAAAAACACAAAATCATCAGCACATAACAGGAGTGCCTTAAATAATTTTGATTGGACGTGATAATAAAGAAACAATGGTAATAACTTTAGTTATTTTCCTAATTTTCTTTACATTTTTCTTCAGAGAATAACTTCAACAGGATAATTTCCAGTGTATACCGGACGCAAAGCCAGTGTCTGCTCTATCCAGATACAATCCATTTAGATTCGCGAGATGACATTCACCGTACCACCATGCTTCGCATTTAATGTAACCCCCGATTGTCAAGCGGTATTTATCGCTCTTTGAAAGTGGAATATTCAGCATAAGCGGAAAATGGGTCAAGATTGTCTTCTTCAAACGTTTCGAAGTATATGTTAATGAAGTGCTATTGATTGCCATGTAGTAAATCTTTTCAAGTCCGAGCCAATTTTCGCCAATTCTTTTCCCAAATCCATTCTTGTAGTCATCCAAATTTCTGTAGAAATCTTCCAATCCGTCTTGTCGGCGTTGTATAACCGTCCATCCACCATTGGTCATATCACACCAGACATCAGTAACAGTACCTCCAGTCGGTTTGATCACGTACACACCGTCTTCAGTATAGCCTTGTTGATAACACGCAAGACAATCAACTTGCTCTCTTGCTGTTCTTGTATTCATTTGATTATCATCATGCCATCTTTTTAAAGCACTTATTTTAACAATACAAAAATTATGATAAACAAGAATCACCCGGAAAGCTGATAGTAGATAATAAGCATAACGTCACTAAAATATTTACATCTCAATAGATACATAACATTTTAATGTTTGTAGATTGGAAATTTGCGCCGAATATGAAAACACACTTGAAAAAAACACTAGAAATATCGTAACAAGAAGGTTATTAAAACATGAGTTTTGGTCACATAAAACAAAGACTTAAAATATGTTATTCCATCAAATCTTTCCTTTTTGTTTGTTTGTTAAGGAATTACCTATCCAAACTTAAATTCAACACAAAATGTAACATTTGTATCGATTATAACTATCGATGTATGAAAATAAAATTGAAAATGTTTCAAAATTGTCACATAAACAATAACATCACATGCATACCTTAAAATTTGCTTGGCACATACTACAGTTGTAAAATGTAATTTAAATGTATGATGAAGTGCAGCTTAAAACGCATCACATTACCGAGCATTTTAAAGAACAAATCATTTTAAATGGATGCCTTTATCATTAAAATAAAATTCCATTTACCATCAGTATGATCAACATTGTTGCCATCTTTGTTGTTATTATAAACAGTACTAGGAATTACGCAGTACTGTCATAAATCATGCGTCCAGAAAAAGCGGGTGCAGGAAATATTTGGATATATTTGGATATGGTCACATTGAAATATACCTGAATATACAGCTTGTGCAACTATTGCAATATATAACTTTGCTAATTATTAGTTTTAAACGTATGAAATGTTGTGAATACATAATGGTCACAATGCAAGTTGTAAAAATAAAATTGTTATTAGAATATACGATCGTCCTTGTTTCAACGTAAACAATGGAAAGTGGAAATCCCTGAAGATAGATAAAATCATCATCAACAAGCGTACAATTGCCGGATCAAATTTTTTAATCAGTTAAAAAGCCGTTCCTAGCACAGGCTTTGAATATTGACATTTCAGACCTTTAAGAAAATGACAAGAAAATAATAAAAAAATCAAACAACTGTGCTGAGGTTTGACCTTCTACAATAAAAAAAAACTGATGGCTAACATATACATAGTTCTATTTTTTACTACTATTTAGCAGTAAACAGATGTCATCTAGAAGTGTTTTTTTTTCAAACAACTTACCCAATTTCTATACCCTGTCAAACAATCTTGCACTGCCAGATTTTACAACGAGCTTATGATAAAGTTTTTAGAATTCATTAGTTTACACCAAAAGTATATCATTTCACAATACATGTATCTTGAAGTATAAAGAGGGTAATGTTCAAGTTCTCCATACATAATTTATAGGTACTTTTAATATACGTTTGCAAAACTTTAAGTGCAACCTTCTAATACCTTAAATTTGCTAATGTCACATAATTTAAAATTGAACCTAGAAAAATGCATCGAATAACTGACAAAGGACTTAATGGAACCTTTTTGCAATTATCAAAAAAAAATCTTGTCCAACGTTTTACGTGCTTTTCCAGATAAATATTCATTATACGAAACAAAGTTATCATTAAAAGAAATCAAAGTGCCTAAATAATTGAAACTATCTACTACATCTTCTACATCTATACCATTATAAGTATATTTTTTCTTCCCGTTTCAAACTTGCCCTTTTTCTAAAAACCACAATTTTAGTTTTAGTGCATTAACTTTGATTCCCCAGATTGTGTCGAAAGTCGTTCTAGCGCTCTGCCTAAAATTGCCATGCCTTCATCATAAAGCAATAAGATAAAATAACAATATAATCTATGAGTAATCCACCTTTAACCGCCTCCGTGGTTGAGGGGTTAGAGTCGATTACTTCTAATCCAGTTACAACTCTGGCGTGGGTTCGATCCCTGGGAGATGCTTTGGTAGTTTAGCACGGAGGAAGGTAGTCTAGTACTGTTGTAACTCTCCAGGAACGATGGTTAGGAAACTACCCGCCTATATGACTGTAAGAACAAGTCTATGTATTCTAAGAAGAATGAAATCAAAACCGGTGTCTTTATCTTCTCTTGTCTTAGATCTGTCACATATATAGTTTAAAAAAAATAGGAAAAGAATTACAATGCCTAACACAGGTCTTTACCACGTCATACATGTTTCTGAAATTTTCATAACTTTCCGTTGCACACATAAGCTATAAAGTTTAAACTAAAATATATTCCTGTACAACGAAATCATCGATAAACCTTACATATAAACGTTTATTATGGTTTAGATAGTGCTCAACTAAATTATTTATAGCAAAAAGATAGCATCTATTGTTGAACTACCCTTTTTAAAGCCAAGTTGTGAATCAGATATAGCCTGGGTCCTTTCGCAAAAAATTACAATTACTTTATTTAAAACTGAAGTGAAAATCTTAAATAAACAACACCTAAATAATTATTGACATCATTATTATCTCGCTTTTCATGGAAATGTATTATAATTCCTTCTTCGTCTAAAATATCTGTAAAAATACCACAAACAAATGGATGGTAATAAATCTGTAGTTTCCACAAAGTACTCATTTAACAAACAATCCTTTCTGTATGTTTTATTACATTTCAAATCTTTAACAGCTTTTAATATCTTCTCGGGACTTATCGGGCGATCTAATTCTTCGTGCACAGAGCCACTATCAAAATTATGAGTTTCACAGAAATTTTCAGATGCAGCATTATAACATGTAAAGATACTCTCTCAATATTAGAAAAATGTTGAAAATAAAATCATCAAAAATAATTAAATTTTCCGTCGTAGTGTTTGTGTTGTATTTTTAAGCTTTTGGCTGACAGTTTCTAAGCCTTTCCAATTTTTAAAAAAAATCGATTCTTATAAGCGTTTTCTTCCGTTTGATAATAATTTTGCACAACAAATTATTTAAGTCTAAAACAATAGCAGTCATCCAAATATGTTTGCCACTTGGTCCTTGTCGTAGTTGGAAAATGCATCACCTGCCTTTGCTCTATTGTTTTTAAGCAATTTATGAAAGTGGGCAATAAAATGTCTAATCTTAGACTTTATCGTGATGTTCCGGCACGAAGGTTGTTGGTGTTTCAGAGGCGGTTTTGGCTGCAGCGCAAGACCATGGGGCTGGAGTCTGATTTTTGTACAGCCATAATCGATCGGAACAAAAAACCAGAAACGGTGTTCTCGTATACAGTTCTAGCTGCAGAGCAGGTAAATGATTGTTTATAAGCAGGTAGACTGGCAAAATTTGTAAAAGAATGGGAAAAATAACTATTGACACACACATTCTTGACAAAGTGAATAATTATTTCAATAATCTTCAAATGAATTTGATAAAACTGGTACATTTTTTTCTAACTTTAAGTATTAACCAAGTACATTTGAATGTCAACATATTGATCGTAAAATTAACAAACTACTAAAATGAAAATATTAGTTCCTACTGAGCAAGAAAAAGGTCAAAGTTTATCAGCAATGTTATATGGGCAAAAAATTGAAAATATCGATTGATTTTTAATCTGAAAAGTAATATTACCAGAATGTTCGTGTTGTCATGGGAGTCAGGTACAAAAACCTTTATAACCCATAGATCCCTAGGTGGTTTCTTTCCTTATTTGAAGGGAAGGAGATTTCTCCAACTTTGTTAAAGATCCTGTATGTTTTGTGACTGATATTGTTACTGTATGAGTACCACACTTGGAAAATATTATATAGTATATAATTATGCACATTAAACAATTTTCGAACATCGAAGAATATGTAAAATGTGTACTGCAAATATTTGTGCACATTATATTGAATCAATTAATTACATGCATTCTTTTCTTATTGGAAAATTTGACCTAGAATTTATAGAAAATAAATTTCTAATTACCTCCCTTTATTTACATGAAATGTTAAATTGGGTAATAGCTTTATAAATAATGCTTATTGGAACTTACAATATTGACAAATCTTAATTTGAGCATCATATTTATGAAATAAAACCATGAAAAAATTGTGTTACAGGATCTTTAAACAAAAACAACTGATACAAATGTATTTCATATTATAAAGTTTCGAGTCAAATAAATATATATCGGATGAGTAAAATAAGCGAAGGATAAAAATTTATCTTTTCATTCCGATTTTAAACAAATAAAGCAGATGAAATTTTTTAATCATTGTGCTCAAATAAGTGTACAGAATTCCCTTCATATATGAAACATACACAAAGAGTCTGTAGAAATTCTCTGTACACTCATTTTTTACAGTCGAAATTTTCTGAGATAATGCGAGCTGTTTGATCTCTGTCTTCGTTAAGAATGTTTTCAGTTTTCACTGCAGTTCACGATCGCTTGACTACGGGCATCCCACCTTTGCCTTTTCTTCCGTAATCTGTTACTTATTTCTCATGACACTTGTATATCAACGATGCATATCATTCTGGATCTTTCCCACGGTTTTTAACTTTTTCAAAATTTAAGAATTAAGGTGAACATAAAACCATTAAAAGATTGCTGAATTTGAAATGGTCCCCACAGTCCGTCCTGCCCTTATATTTCGATATGTCCATGTGCATGTCTGTTTGAGAAAAAATTGCTAAAATTAAATTGACAAAGTGTCGGGGTAATCTTATTGTCGGAGTGATATCTCCTACGATACCCCTAAACTACAATACACCGATTCCTAATACGATAAACATAGAAGAATATTAGATATTTCGTCTAACTTTCATCTCAGTTTTCTTCAGAGAATAAGTATGTCCCCAGCAGAAGTTCCAGTTTATACCGCCACCGAACTTTGTGCCTGCTCCATCAAGATACAATCCATTTAGATTCGCATTATGACATGCATTGTACCACCAAGCTCCGGTAAACCTCACTGCACAGTTATAATTGACATAATCGTTATCATCGTCTTTTGTTGTAAACTTACTTCCGTTTTGATACGACATCGAGTCACCACATGAACCGCTGTACCCGGAAACTGTTAATCGGTATTTGTCGGTCTCATCATTAATTGTAAAGGTGGAATATTCGGCAAAGGCATTGAATGGGTCCACATTATCTTTTTCAAACGTTTCTAGGTATATATAAAGTGAACTGTCGGTAATCGTCAAATGGTAAATCTTTTCAAGTCCGAGCCAATACTCTCCAACTCTTTTCCCAAATCCATTCTTGTAGTCTACCCAATTTTTGTAGAAATCTTCAGATCCATCTTGCCGGCGTTGTATAACCGTCCATCCACCATTGGTCATATCACACCATACATCAGATGTAATACTTCCGGTTGGTTTAATCACATAAACACCGTCTGCAGTATAGCCTTGTTGATACAGTGCAAGACAATCAACTGGCTCGGGTTGTTCTTGTATTCTTTTGAACATTATGCCATCTTCCTGTGACAAAATAGAGATAACTGTATAATCAGATTAGCTTGTAAGCAAACCTTTTTATGAATATCAATATATAGATGTAGTTAAATTTTCTAAGGATATGAATGTTTATAACAATTTAAACTGTCTAAGTTTAAAGTGCTTTTTTATACACGGTCCAATTAAAATAACATATATGATTGTCGTATTATAATATTCATGTTAAGAATATGAAAAGATAAATCGTATCAAAATTTAAAAAATGACTTAACTAATCTGTATCAAAATTTTAAAAAAATGACTTTACTAATCTGTACTTTTTAATGTAATACGTGCACGAATTTTATTTGCCTTTATTCTGTTTGTCACGTTTTAATAACTTAAGTTGAAACTTAGAAATGCAACAACAAAAAGTCATTTTCGACTATTCAATAATTGCGTAAAATAAACATTTGTTTATATTTCCTTTTTTCTCTTAACAATAACACTTATTTGCGCACTTAACAAAGAATTATGTAGTTTCATAGCTTCATATACACAATTTGAGTCAATAGTGTATTTTTGAGTGAAAAATGGAATATTGATAAACATATTTTGTGTTTTAATATTGAAATCGTTCCCGTCGTCGTTGTTGTTGTTGTCGCTGTTGTATTTAACGTTATACCCTTTAATGTCTGAAGTTTGAAAACCAAAATTGATCAACATTTAAAAGAGAGTTAAAAGATGATGCAGAAGTTCCAGGATGGTGGGAGTGTAGACAACTTACTTGTAAGAATGAAGTGACAACCTTTGCTGTTCGGACCCCATACTGAAGCGTGGAATCCTCGGTTTCATGTCCATGTATGTTATCATCTTTGCTTGAACTGCACAAACATGCTTCACTTGTTTTGATATAGTAAAATGAAATAAATCCAAAATTATTGCAATAAAAAGTACATGACATTAGACTGCCCTGATGGCTCGTTGGTGATGTAACAACGTTTTGTGCAATGTTTATTATTCTCCACAGTTTGTACGTACTTAACATATTTTCATTTAGTAATATTTGGTCCATGCTGCACAAATAGATTGCCGACAAAAGCAAAAAAGAACCTCTTAGAAAGTAACGCATAGTTCCTTCACTTTAAATATTTTTTCTATCAATTTATTACATACTGAATAAACATTTTACTAAAAAAAAAAATAAATAAATTGCATGTTGTTTAGACATTAGTTTCATCTAAGAGATGTGCGACACTGGTGGAAAATCTTACATTTTCAGGCCTATTAAGTAGGAAAGGAGCCATTAACAAATGTAACATTATTCACGAAACATGACTTCCTTTATTGCAAAGATTATCTGACATCACTTTTTTCTGGTGTTTGACACGCTTAAAAATGATAGCTATTGATACGATATAGAAACACTTTAGAGCACTTATTTTAACAATATGAAGATTATAATAATCAAGAATAGCTCGGAAAGCTGTAAGTAGATAATAAGCATAAAATCAGAAAATACTTACTACTAAATAGATAATAAAACTTTAATGTTTGGAGATTGGAAATTAACAAAAAAATATGGTAAACACGCTTTAAAAACTGAAGAAGAAAAAAATAATTCGTAACAAGGTTAATAGTAAATAATAATTGAGTTTCGGTCACATGAAATAAACACTTAAAAGCTGTTGTTCCATCACATATTTCCATTTTGTTTGTTCTGTCAATTGTATGCCGTTAAGGAATTACCTGTTCAAACATAGATTTAACACGAAATGTAAACTTGGGCGGATAATCATTATCACAATATGGAAATAAAATCAAAAATGTTCCAAAATTGGCACATTACAATGCAAACATTAACAAAACATGCATGGCTTAAAATTTGCTTTTAGTTCATTCTACAGTTGTAAACGGTAACTTGAATGTATCATGATATAGACGTAGTTAATGTGCATATAGAAATGCATCGCATTGCCGAGCATTTTAAAGAACAAATCATTTTAAGTTAAACATATTACAGGAAGCCTGTATCATTAAAATAAATTTTCATTAACCACACAACATGATCAACATTTTTGATGTCTTTAATGTTATCATAAACAGTACTAGGTATTACGCATTTTTTTATTTCTTTTCCCAGTACTGCCATAAATTATATGTCAAGAAAAGGGGATGCATGCGATATTTGGATATATTTGGATATGGTTACATTGAAATAGACTTTAATACATGTATACAGCTTGTGCATCTATTGCAATATATCACTTTTCGAATCATTAGTTTAAAACGGAATACATAATGGCAGCATTACAAGCTGAAAAAATAAATATTGTTATTAAAATATACGATCGCACTTGTTTCAGCGTAAAAAAATTGAAACGTGGAAATCCCTGAAGACAGATCATCTTAAGCATCATCAACAAGCGTTCAATTGCCGGATCAGATTTTATTTATCAGTTAAAAAGCCGTTCCTAGCACAGGCTTTGAATATTGACATTTCATACCTTTAAGAACATGACAAGAAAATGTGTAAAAAAATCAAACAACTGTCCAGAGGTTTTACCTTCTAAAATGGCTAACATATACATAGATCTATTTTATTACTTCTATTTATCAATAAACAGTTGTCATCTAGAAGTTTTTTTTGTGTTTTTTGTTTGTTTTCAAACAAATTACCCCATTTCTATACCCTATCAAACAATCTTGCACTGCCAGTTTTTATAACGAGCTTATGATAAAGTTTTTAGAATTCACTAGTTCACACCAAAATTGTATCATTTTACTATACATGTATATTGAAACAAAAAGAAGATAACGTTTAAGTTCTCCATACATAATTTAAAGATACTTTCAAAACTTTAAGTTCAACCTTCTAATACCTAAGATTTGCTAATGTCACATTATTTAAAATTGAACTTACAAAAATGCCTCGAATAACTGACAAAGAACTTAATGGAACCTTTTTTGCAGTTATCAAAAAAATATCTTGTCCAACGTTTTAAGTGCTTTTCAAGATAAATATTCATTATACGAAACAAAGTTATCATTAAAAAAAAAATTGAAGTGCCTAAATAATTAAAACTATCTACATCTTCTACATTTATACCATTATAAGTCTATTTTTTCTTCCCGTATCAAATTTCCCCTTTTTCTAAAAACCACGAATTTGGTTTAAGTGCATTAACTTTGATTCCCCGTTGACAACAATAATTATGCATGCAAAAGATTAAGATTGTGTTGAAATTGGTTCTGGTGTCATTCCGAAAATGACCATGCCATCAGCAAAAAGCAATAGGCAAAAAGATCATCTATGGGTAATTCAACAGTTATATTATCTTGTAAGAACAATTTTATGAACAATAAAAACAAAAACCGATGCCTTTGTTTCCTCATGTCTTAGACCTATGGCATATAAGTTAAAAATCTAAAAAAAAGGATTACAATGCTTAACACAGGTTTTTACAACGTCGTACATGTTTCTGAAATTTCCATAACTTTTATTTGCACACATGAGCTATAAAGTTCAAACTTAAATGTTTTCCTGTAAAAAGAAATCAAAAATAAACCTTACATATAAACGTTTACTATGGTTAAGATAGTGCTCAACTAAATTATTTATAGCAAAATTAGCATCGATTGTTGAACTACCCTTTTTAAAGCCAAATTGTGAATCAGATATACCCTGGTGCCTTTCGTAAAAAAAATCTATTCAAAACTGACGTGAAAACCTTAAATAAACAACACCTCAATAATCATTTATATCTCCCTTTTCACGGAAATGTATTATAATTCCTTCTTTCCTTTGCTCGGAAAATACACCAGAGTCTAAAATATCTTTAAATATATCACAAACAAATGGATGGTAAATAAATCTGTAGTTTCCTTAACAAACAAGCCTTTCCATATGTTTTATTACATTTCAAAATTTTAATAGCTTTTAATATCTTCTCGGGACTTTTCGAGCGATCTAATTCTATATGCACAGAGCCACTATAAAAAAAATGAGTTTCGCAAAAAAATTTCAGATGCAGCACTATAACATGTAAAGATACACTCTCAATATTAGAAAAATGTTGAAAAATAAGATTATCAAAAATAATTGAATTTTCGTCGAACGTTGCGTTTGTGTTACTTTATTAAGCTTTTGGCTGACAGTTTCTAAGCCTTTCCATTTTAAAAAAAAAAGATTCGATTCTGATAAGCGTTTTTTTCCGTTTGATAATTCTTGTGTAGAACAATTTATTTAAGCCTAAATCAATAGCAGTCATCCAAATATGTTTGCCCATTGGTCCCTTACGTAGTTAGAAAATGCATCACCTACCTTTATTCTATTTTTTTCAAGCAATTTATTAACGTAGGCAATAAAATGTTTTATCGTAGACTTTATCGTGATGGTCCGGCACGAAGATTGTTGGAGAGAGGATTTAGTTCAGAGGCTGTTATGGCTGCAGCGCACGTACAGCTACAATTGATTAGAAAAACCCTACCAGAAACGGGGGTCCTGTATACGGTTCTAGCAGCAGAGCAGGTAAATGATTGTTTATAAGCAGGTAGACTGGCAAAAATGGAAAAGAATGGAAAGAATAACTATTGAAACACACGTTCTTGACAAAGTGAATAATTGTTTCAATAATCTTCAATCTAATTTTGATAATACTGGTACATTTTTGTCTAACTTTCAGTATTAATCAAGTACAGTTGAATGACAATATATTGATCGTAAAATTAACAAACTACTAAAATGAAAATATTAGTTCCTACTGAGCCAGAAAAGGGTCATAGCTTATCAACAATGTTTTATGGCCAAAAAATTGAAAATATCGATTGATTTTTAATCTGAAAAAGTAATATTACCAGAACGTTCGTGTTGTCATGGGAGTCAGGTACAAAAACCTTTATAACCCATAGATCCCTAGTTGGTTTCCCTCTTTATATGAAGGGAAGGAGATTACTCCAAATTTGTTAAACAAATACAACCGATACAAATGTATTTTATATTATAAAGTTTCGAGACAAATAAATATATTTTTTTATATTGGATGAGCAAAATAAGCGAAGAACAAAACTTTATCCTCTTCATTCCAATTTTAATCAAATAAAACAGATGCATTTTTTAATCATTGTGCTCAAATTTATAAGTATATAGAATTCCCTTTATATATGAAACATACACAAGTGTCTGTAGAAATTCTCAGTAAACTCGTTTTTTTACAGTCTAAAATTTCTGAGATAATGCGAGCTTTTTGTCTTCGTTAAGAATGTTTTCATTTCTTTCCACAGTCCATGATCGCTTGACAACGGGCATTCCACCTTTGCCTTTTCTTCAGTAACCTGTTACTTATTTCTCATGACACTTGTATACCAACGATGCAAATCATTCTGGAACTTTCCCACGGTTATTAACTTTTTCAAAGTTTAAGAATTAAGGTAAACATAAAAACATTAAAAGCTTGCTGAATTTGAAGTGGTCCCGACAGTCCGTTCTGTCCTTATTAAGTTATATTTCGATATGTCCATGTGCATGTCTGTTTGAGAAAAATTGCTAAAATTAAATTGACAAAGTGTCGATTGACAAAAAGTCGGGGTTATCTTATTGTCGGAGTGATATCTCCTACGATACCCCTAAACTACAATACACCGATTCCTAATACGATCAACATAGAAGAATACAAGGTTAGCTTTTAAAAAAGCTAGTAGCGACTCGCTTCGTAATTTTTTTCAAGGGGTGTGTTTAAATGTAAAAATGACAGTTCTGTTAGCTGAAGAGACTTCAGCGAACATCAAAATAAAAGTGAAGTCAACACTGGCCCGGTGCCCGATGGCCAGTGTATATAAGTTCAGGCAAGTGTAAATTTAAGAAAAGTTTGTTAATTATTTAGTAGAATAAATTCAAAACTGGAATTCGGGCCAGTAAATTCAAAATCTTAAACTCATTGACTGAAAGTGACATATAAAGTTCTCTCAGTTTAACCAAGATGAGTATAAGTATATATGAAAGTGCATGTAAACAGATAGAATGAAGAACCTATATGTCTATGCACATTTACTATATGGCCTGTTGACCTTGACCACAAAATGTTAGATAGGTAGATTTCATAAAGATGTCTCTTTATACAAAATTAAGTTGTAATACATGTATGTTATTTAGTATTGGAATGAGAGGCACAAGTCCTAAAGTAAACACAAGTTGTCAATCAATTCAGCCAGAAAAGCCGGGATCCTATTAAAAAATACATGGATCCCGGAAATTGACCAGTCTAAGAAGATGTTTTTCAGACAAGCCGGGATCCTATTTAAACATATAGGGATCCCGGGAATTGACCAGTTCAAGAATATAGTTTTCAAAAAGCCGGGATCGTATTAAAATGTAAATAGATATCACGGATTGGCCAGTTCAAGTATATAGTTTTCAGAAAAGCTGGGATCGTTTTAAAACATTTAGGGATCCCGGGATTTGACCAATTCAAGAAAATAGTCTTTGATTTTTCCAATTAATTAGGCATATAATTATAAGTATTGTGATTTCCGCATTTTAAGTTTGTTAATAAATAGCTCTAAATATATCTATATTCTAAGTTAAATTAATTTAACGTTCGTATACAATAAAAAAATAACGTTTAATGGCCTTTCATTACGACAACAATCAAGTTGAACACAAATATGGTTCATTAGGTTTTTCCTCCATATCCTATACGATCCCGGATCCCGGCCAGTAAATACATACACTAAATACCGGAAAGGATAAAATGACCGGAAAAAATAAAAAATAAAAAATGCACAGAACCAGATGTACACTTATGTCAATTAACCAAACGAAAACTTACTACAGAGAAAACAGGTGAAATCGCTAAATCAGAAGTTAGTGTAAATATGATTTATTGAAAAGAATTCATAAAGACAAACATTTTAATCATCATTATATCTTTGCGCTCAAAACAATACTTGCTGATTTTTAAAAATGGCGTGAAAATTGAAGGTTTTTTGACGCTATGTAAGATTAAATTTGATTGGCTTATAAATAATTTTGGATCCTAGCCCTGATAAATTTTGTAAAAAGCTGGAAGCCAAGCTTCGATTAAATTTTTGGATGGTTTCGGAGTTTTAGGTTGTTTCTCAGTAAAATCCTACCGTAAAACCGGCTCGCCGTGGCGAGCCGGCATTAGATATTTCTTCTAACTTTCATTTCAGTTTTCTTTAGAGAATAAGTATGTCCCCAGCATTTGTACCAGTTTATACCGCCACCGTCTTTTGTGCCTGCTCCATCAAGATACATTCCATTTAGATTCGCAAAATGACATGAATTGTACCACCAAGCACCGGTATAAGTTACTGCACAGTTATATCTGAAGTTGGAATCGTTATCATCATCTTTTGTTGTAAACTTACTTCCGTTATGATAAGACATCGAGTCACCACAAGAACCGTTGTACCCGGCTACTGTTAATCGGTATTTGTCGCTCTCATCATTAATTTTAAAGGTGGAATATTCGGCAAAGGCGTTGAATGGGTCAACACTATCTTTCTGAAACGTTTCTAGGTATATATAGATTGAACTGTCGATAATCGTCAAATAGTAAATCTCTTCAAGTCCGAGCCAATACTCTCCAACTCTTTTCCCAAATCCATTCTTGTAGTCTTCCCAATTTCTGTAGAAATCTTCCGATCCATCTTGTCGGCGTTGTATAACCGACCATCCACCATTGGTCATATCACACCACACATCAGTAGCTGTACTTCCAGTTGGTTTGATCACGTACACACCGTCCTCGGTATAGCCTTGTCGATAAAACGCAAGACAGTCAACTGGCTCGGGTTGCTTGTGAATTCTTTTAAAAGTTTTCCTATCTTCCTGTAAAAAAAAGATTGTTTTGTATAGCTAGCATAACATCTATTCAACTTCTTTCACAAACTTTTATAAAAACAACTTATTTAGTAAAACTTTTCTGGTAAGATCGGATCTGCTCAATAATATTTACTTCATGTATAAACAGCCGTTATAGTAATTTTTGGGTGTTTTAGGCTTTTTCCATCATGCGTTTATGCATTTTTAAAAATTTCTTCCTTTCTTTACTTAAAACAACTCACATTTGCACAAAAAAGCTAAAACGTAACAACTTTGAAAAAGCCGACGTCAAGTAACGCCACTAACGTCAACGTTAATAACATCATCTCAAAACGTCGAAACGACTATGTCTTACTTTCACCAAAACTTTTTCCTCATGTTAAATGCTTTGAAATTTTACCATTTGACCCGTTATTGTCTGATGTACATTGTGCAGTGTCTTTTGCACTAGAATCTGATATAAATCAGACTGTGTCTTGTACATTGGATAGTGATCAGTCATGTGATACTTTAAATGATGTAGTTAAACTATTTTGGAATCAAAAAAGTCTAATAATCAGTGGTTTGACTTAGAATGTAGGGATAGTCAGAAGGAGTATTATCTCTCTAAGCGTAAATACAGATCTTTTCGCACGCAAGATAACTTATTAAATCTGAAAACTTGTAGTAAGAAGTACAAGAAATTATTAAATACTAAACTAAGGAATTACCAAGAAAGTATTGTTAAAAAATTAAAAAGTCTAAGATGTACAAAACCAAAGGAGTACTGGTGTCTTCTCAGTAAATATTCGGGAGAACAGAAAGAGGTAATGAACAAGGTTTCGTTAGAAGCATTTTATGATCAATTTCGTAATATTAATAGTGATGATGATTCTGAAGATTTATTTTCAGCATTTGATATTGAATCAGTTTCAGAATTAAATAATATATTAAATCGCCCATTTACTACTTTAGAAATTGACAAAGTTATTAAAACTTTAAAAAATAACAAAGCATGTTCACCTAAAGATAATATACTGAATGAGTATATAAAATACTCAAAAGATTTGTTATTACCATTGTATTGCAGCTTATTTAATCTTGTACTTGAAACAGGAATTGTTCCAGATACATGGTGTACGGGTATAATTTTACCTATTTATAAAAACAAAGGGGACGAAAATAATGCTGATAATTATAGAGGTATAACCATTTTAAGTTGTCTTGGTAAATTGTTCACATCAGTTTTAAATTCTAGAATAAATATTTTTTTGGGAAGAGTCTGGCCTATTAATTGAGGAACAAGCAGGGTTTCGTAATGGTTATGGAACTACGGATCATATTTTTTCCTTAAAAATGTTGATTGATATTTACTTATCGAAGAAAAAGAGATTGTATTGCTCTTTTATTGATTACAAGAAAGCATTTGATAGTATAAACCGTACTGCTCTCTGGAGGAAATTGTTAGCACATAATATTGATGGGAAAATACTTAAAGTTATTCATAATATCTATGACAAAGCTAAGTCTTGCGTTAAAGTGAATAATGCATTGTCAGATACATTTGTAAGCTGTTTAGGTGTGCGTCAGGGAGAAAATCTTTCCCCAATTTTGTTTTCAATTTTCCTTAATGATTTGGATATGTCTACGCATTGTGAAGGTTTGCAGTTTTTATCAGACCAGATAAATGAACAGTTAAGTATTGATGAAGTTGATGTATTCTTGAAGTTGTACTTATTACTCTATGCTGATGATACAGTTGTTTTCGCGGAAAGTCAAACTGGCCTTCAAACAGCACTAAACTGCATGCTTGATTATTGTAAATTATGGCATTTGACTGTTAATACCGATAAGACAAAAGTTGTTGTATTTTCTCGTGGTAAATTAAGAAATAAGCCTGTATTTTATTTCAATAATGTACCTCTAGAAGCTGTAGATGATTTTAATTATTTAGGTGTGATATTCAACTTAAATGGTAAATTTAATAAAACAAAAAAGCACTTGACAGATCAAGCGAGGAAGGCTATGTTTAGTATTTTAACTAAAATTAAGAAATTGTGTTTGCCAATTGATATTCAGGTACAGTTGTTTGATAATATGGTTAAGCCAATATTATTGTATGGGTCGGAGGTGTGGGGATCTGAAAATAATTCTATTATTTCTCAGTTTCAATTGAAATTTTATAAATATATACTTAAACTTAAGATGTCAACTCCTTCGGTTATGGTCTTGGGAGAAATAGGTGCATTTCCTATTGAAAATGATATTACTTGCAGAATGTTAAATTTTTGGAGTAAATTGGTTAATGGTAAAAATGATAAAATATGTGCCTCTTTGTAACGCACTATGTATAATCTTCATGAAAAGGGTATTTTACATTGTCAGTGGATCGAAAAAGTAAAATCTACATTGAATAATATCGGTTGTTCTGATTTTTGGATTACTCAGAATGTTGCAAATTTTAATAATTTTAAATATGTAATAAAATCACGATTACGTGATCAGTTTTTACAAGTATGAAATAGTGATGTTTTTGATTCTGCTAAGTGTTTAAACTATAGAATATATAAAACTCAATTTAAATTAGAACATTATTTACTATGTTTACCAAGAAATTTAGCAATTGTTCTCTGTAAATTTAGATGTCTCAATTCTAATGTTCCTATAGAGAAAGGTCGCTATTTTGGTATTGAAAGGGAAAATAGAACATGCTCACTTTGTTATCAGCAAGAAATAGGTGATGAATTTCATTATAGTTTTAAATGTACTTATTTTAATCATGAAATACACAGGTAACTATTATTCAAGGTTTCCTAGTACTTTAAATTTCCAGGCTCTAATGTGTAGCGACAACAGAAATACTTTATTTAATCTAGCCATTTTTGTCAAAGCTTTAATGCTGAAATTTCAATAAGTCATCTTCCTAATTTACTTATTTACTTCATGCCATGTTTGTATTATTATTTTTTTGTTTTGTTGATTGTTCACTCTTATGCCCTTAAGGGCCATGAGTTTTGTTTATAAATAAATAAGAGTTTTGTTTATGAATAAATAAATAAATAAGACGTTAGAAATAAAATTTATTTACTTACGCAAAGCGACAGTATCATGTAATACGTATAATTTAATTTCTGTAAATATTTAATATAACATTATTTAAAAAGAACATTAAAATGTTACATAAATGCTAAATGCTAATAGGTAACAAAAACCAGTAACTACGACAATCGTGTGATCGTAGAAGCACAACAGTTAATGCTCAAAACACCACTGTACACAGAGTAACAAGTTATTCTTGCGATACATCAGCTTAAATATATCCTTGACTCTTGACCATTTAAGAACTATTGTACCGAAATGTGTATAAATAATCACTGCCCATCGCTTGACGGGCGATGATCAGATCATTTGTCTATTCCGTTTTTCCAAAAAAATTCAGATCATTTGCTTATTCCTTTTTTTTCAAAAAATTCAGATCATTTGCTTATTCCGTTTTTCCAAAAAAAATAAGATCATTTGCTTATTCCGTTTTTCCAAAAAATTAAGATCATTTGCTTATTCCGTTTTTCAAAAAAAAAAATCAGATTATTTGCTTATTCCGTTTTTCCAAAAAAATCAGATCATTTGCTTTTTCCGTTTTTTCCAAAAAAATCAGATTATTTGCTTATTCCGTTTTTCCAGAAAATTCAGATCATTTGCTTATTCCGTTTTTCCAAACAATTCAGACCATTTGCTGATTCCGTTTTTCCAAAATCATTCTAATTGAGAAAACTGATCGAAAATGGAAAAGAGTTGCAACGCTTTTCACTCAAATCGGGCCAAGAAAAGCGCTAGTACGATGGTTTATTTATTTCTGATTATATTTCTTTATTTTTCTTGACATATTTTTCTGTTTTTAATGCCTCAGCTGATCTATGTTGTAAATAAATTCATTGTATTTTATGTTTTTAGACTTTTAAACCTCAGTGGAGTTCCTTTAATAAAATCAAGATGCAAATTTGAAGCTAGTAAGTTACAATGAATCAAACAATAATCACATTTTTTTGTACCAGATAAAGGGTTAAGATGATTTGTACCGTGAGACTGATTTCATAAAAAAAAACTAAAATCGATTAAAACCAAAATTGGCAGTTGATACAAAATAACAAAGTGTAGAAAGGATGAAAATTTTACTTGCAGAGACGAAAAGAGAACCCTCGTTTTTCGGATGCCGTAGAGAATCCTAGTATCCTCAGTTTCGTGCCCATCTATGTTGATATCTTCATTCAAACTGCATAGACATTCAGTACTTGTTTTAATATAGTAAAATGAAATAAATCCAAGTTTATCACATTGAAAACTACATGGCACAAGACCGTCCTGTTGGCTCGTTGATGCTGTAACAACGTTTTGTGAAATGTTTATTATTCTCCACAGTTTGTACATAGATGAAACGTTGTCGTTGAACAATGTTTGTACATTGTCGCACCAATATGTGGCAAGAAAGAAGAAAATGGTAGCCTGTGTAAAGCAACGCATTATTCCTTCACTGGTACAGAATTTTATAGTTTGAAGACAATCTCGAAACTGTAATACGCATTCCATCAATACTAACAGTGTATAATTACACCTTTAATATAAATATGATTTCTAAAATGTCATGGTTTACCAATTATGTTGTAATAAAATACATTAGTAATGCAAAGTGCTACAATAAAAAGCTTTTGAAGTATATATACCCTATCAGAGTATGAAGAAAAAAAAGAAAAGTCATTACTTCTAATAGACATCGTCACTTCAAGAGACCAATAATGCGGTTATGCATTTATAACGATTGAAACGTTCGTGCTTAAAGGATAAGATAAGAGTTCGACTTCAGAGAATCGCCAGTTACCCTGAAAGTCATTAATACTAGAAACAATAGCATTTTTACTTAAATATTTATGACTTAATCAAAATGCAGCACGGTGTCATATGCATTAAGTTACGGAAATTTAAGAACCTATACATGCCATAACAGTTGAATATAAAGTACGAGTATATTTTTGTTGTTCAATTCAAACAAGCATTTCCAGACATTTCTATGCTCTAATGGAAAAGGCAATACATGTAACTGGAAATCTGATGTCAATTTCTTGAGTAACCAAAATACAAAAGTGATAAGAGCAGGAAATATATGTAGCGAAAATGGAAAAGTTACTTCCCCTTATTTAGTATACCTCAAAACAAATTGTTCCAGACGAAAATTCTTAATACTTTGATCTGTAAGTTGGTATCAAATATGTTTGATGAAGTTACTTGATTTAATTACCTTTTACTTTTCAATTTAGAGTCCTTGGCTGTTGTATTATTCAATGTAGAAAAGGTAAGAATATATTCATTTTGGCGATGGTTCCCGAGTCATCTAAATACATTCAATAGTAACACATATTGAAAAGGTAAGTAGTAGTTGTTTTCAATCAAGCGTTTGCAAGATATGGAAGACACTAGAGGCTACAAGCAGTCCCGAGTCAATATATAGAGCCTCATATATAAGGCAGTTGA